CAATCTCATGACGTATATCTCTATCCGGAGGCAACCTCGTCGGGGGTTTTCTGGAGACAACATCTCCATATTCCTTCAACAAAGGAAAAGAAGGATCCGAAGGGTCCTTCAGGAACTGTGATCCACTACGCGCATTCAGCGCCTTCTTGGTATCTTCAAGAACTGCTTTATCCAAAAGCGATGAGGAGTATAGCTCCTGCTCAGGTCGTATAACGACCACTTCGTCGATGTCGCCTGCCTGTAATGCACTGCAAAGAACAACTCGTCTATCTCTAACAAAGCACTTACAGCGGGTATTGCTGAAAGAGCCACAGGCTTTTAAACATCACCAGCCAGACCATTGACGATATAGCTGTTTGCTATCACCGTCACTCACGATATTATCATCGCTACTCATGATGCTCTCAGCATCCGACGCATCAGCGTCCACAGGTGTACACACCACAAGGTCAAAGACCACTTCGTTTGCTGGCTGCACCCCACCCTCTTGGGCCAATGCCTCGTCATGAGGTGTTTGCACCTCGTTGTCCTCAACGACAACTTTCATTTTTGACTTCACCCGACCCTCTTGGGCCAGTACCTCGTCACTAGGTGCTTGCAACTCGTTATCCTCAAAGATAACATCCATTGATGTCTTCACTCGACCCTCCAGGGTCAGTACCTCGTCGTTAGGTGCATGCACCACGTTGCACTCAAAGACAACATCCATTGATGACTTCATCCGGCCCTCTAGGGTCAGTTCCTCGTCACTCATGTCACTTGGACTCATGTCCTGACATCTTGGCTTGCAGCCACCAACACCACTCAAGGTGTTTAATGATGCAACATCATTCTCATGACACATGTCATATGTGCCATCTAGTGGGTTCTCAACCACACTATCGACAGTCATTGGGCCTCTCCCAGGACTATTGTCCTCGACACTTACAGTGTCTACAAAGTCGGACATTCCGACATCCAGCATATTGACCGACTCGGTCCAATATTCGCGCCAAAAGAGCTTTTGCTTCCTAGCAGAGGTGGGTTCATGACTCTCCAAGAGCCCCACCAAGAGCATTGCGCGTTGCGCCTAAGGTCTTCGACCTCCAATCAATCCATGGCTCGTGACGCTCTAGCCATGCCATGCCTAGGATGAGGTCACACCTCGCATCCAGGTATAAGACCAAACAGCGCTCCATGCTGTTAAAGTCCAAGAACTTTACATTTAAGTCCATCGGGACTTTGGGTACCGTAACACGCGTACCCGTCGCTAAGCAAACTATAAACTTGTCACTCTCACGCGCTACAAGCGCTTCAGCATACTTCTGACTACCTTCCACGGTGGCACGCCGCACATAATTGCCCAATGCCCCCGAATCGATCAAAATGATCCATGGCTTATCAAAGCCCTTGATCGTCCCTTCGACGAATAGCAAGCCTGGCTTGCATTCTCGTTCTGTTTTTGAGATTTCGGATCTCGTTGAAGCTGGGCCCTTATTACTTCTACTTCCTAGAGGTTCAACAGAACTCAGTTCTTCCCCAGTAGGGCGCCCCGCGCCTACTGGGTCCCGACGTTTCCCCACGGCAAACCAGAAGGTTTACCCATGGGACGTCGGGCCTTCAAGGCCAAATATGCCTTTCTTGCAGGGCATTTTGCCATCAAATGACCTGTGCTCTTGCAGATATAACATCTGCGCACAATTTGCTGCTCTGCAGCTTGAAGCTCAGCTTCTTCATCCTCCACTTGACTACAGTCCATGGGTACAGACCCATCAGACGAGTAGTTATAAGTGGCAGGCCTAACGGCCTTAGAGTTGGTCTCGGCAATCCATGCCACTCCAACAGCTTCCTCGAATGAGGACGGGTTTACCCGGAAGACTTCCGTTCTGGCAACGCCAACTCCGAGGCCCTCCATGAAGACCGTGACGGTCACTGCCTCAGGCTTATGGTCTATGACTATGGCAGCAATGAGAGTTCTAAACTCTTGTACATATGCCGCAAGCTCACGCTTGCCTTGGCGACACGCGAAAAACCGCGACCGGTTACGATGTGCTTGGTTTGGCGGTGCATACTGCGGGTCATCTGAACTCTCAGATCGGCCCATGTGGGAAAAGCATCTTGCAATGATGCACCACATGTGAATGCCTACTGTTTGGCTAATCCACCTAACTTGCCCGTGGCAAAGCCCACACGGTACGGTTCATTGGTGATGTCGGCTATAAACATAGCCGACTCAACCTGTCGGAACCAAAGTATATGGTTATCACCTTCTTTGCCGTCGAACTTATCGACTTCCATTTGTATGAGTTTTGGTCTGCGGACCACTTCTTGCGCCATAGTCGCCATGAGCGAAGGCGCAGAAGAAGGCATCTGTGCCTTTACATGCTTGACTAGAGCTTTATTATATTCATCAAGAATATGAATACGCTTGTTAACCTCTTCTTCGCCCTGGGCGATGAGGTACTCTACGCACTTAGGGCCAAGGATAGGGAGCAGCTTGTGCAGCCCTTCTTGTTGTGACTGTGACAGGCCAACAGCTGACATCTCATAGATGTCCATTCTCACACAGAGAAGTAGTCGCAAACCCAGTTGCGGGATTGACTACAAGTGCTACCAGGTGTAGCCGAGCTACTGTAGCTACGCTACTTATGCACTATGTGCAGATGACTATGTGCAGAAGAAGTAATCAGACTACTGTAGCAAGCTACGCATGCACTATGTGCAGAGGAAGACAAGCTCAGAGAGCTTCTACGTCTTAGGGTGCTTAACCCTCCTAGGCTAGCTAGTAAGCTTGTGCCGATCGGTATTAACAACCGAGTCTCAGAGAGACTAGTATCAAAGATACTGATTCCTCAGGAGGAATCGAACGCTCAAGCTGGAAGGCTTACAAAGCAGGTTTGAAGCTGATGTATATTTATGTTTATCTTCTAACACTAAGTATAGAATCACCTATCCTATACTTAGTGCTAGTCAATATTTACTGGCTCTTTATCCTGTTATTGTTATGCAAACATGCATAGTCGCTATACTTTCAATAAGTATAGTGACCACGTGGCTCTTTGCCACAATGCGACCCTTCGTACTTCAGGTACGGTACTTTTGTACCCAAGGTACAGCCACACCACATTGGTGTGGCAGGTGTGTATGTAAAATACACACCTTCGTGTAACCCCGTTACAACATCCAGAAAATGTCACTCAGACATTCGCTTTTTAGAATGGACTTCACTTTTGGGAATTCAGCACCAACATCACTCCCATGGCGCAAATGCAAATGGTGGATGAGTTCAATCAGCTGGTCATACACCGGCCACCGGCGCATTTCGCCTTCGAAGAATGCGCAATATGATGGAGATACGTTTGGACGAGGTCATCCAAGTTATAACTGCGCTGAATCGTCACAAATCGGCAGGCGCAGACGGCCTATACAACTATTTTTCATAGACACCAAGCAGTGATGGCTCCCACCTAGGGAATGAATTTCTTAAGGGTGGTGAGCCGCCCGAGTCATTCCTCAAAGGGTTGATTATTCCGCAATGAAAAAAGGGCGACTTCCACAACGCGATGGACTTTTTGCAACGTACAACGTCGATGGCAACAGCGACTCAACTCGCAACCAGCGTCGAGACCCGATTATTACTTCTAAACATCATCATCCATCCTCCCAGCTGTGTTGTTGATGGGGCAATCTTTGAGACATTACCTTGGGCGGAGCAGCGGCTACACAACCTTCAGGGGCAATTTGTATGGCATCATTCTACCAGCAGCCACCATAAGATCCAGCTAGCGCTACTGTACATCGTATGACGGGCGGGAAGGGGTTGGTTTGGTCTCTTTGAATCAAGCAGGATCATCACTATCTTTAGACCAACACTTGCCATGACAATCATTGACTCGACGGACGAGAGAGGACAAACGTATACCTTTGCACGATGACAAAGCTACAGGTATACACGTATTCATTCCGCTTTTCACTTTAGAGGACTAAAAAGCTACCCAACAAATTTAAAGCTTGTTTTCTAATGCAACAGATACAGATGGTTCCTGAACAAAGAGGGAAGAATACTATTAGATTCTTTCCGCAAATACTGCATCTTCAAGACCTCCTCACACAAAAATGTGATGCGACTAAATCTGCACACCCGACAGCTAATAAACTGACAAACTCTGCAGACAACTACGCGCTGTAGCAAAAATGATTCTTGTCGCTAACGAACTAGAGCTGCTCGTGTTGACACTGTTGTGAAATGCTTGTGATAGCAATTGCGTATTCCCTCTATGATTGATAGAAATATTTTACTCTGTTCACAGCCGGCTGTCCTTTGTCAAACATTAGTGCACCATCTTTCCAACAAAACGTGAACAACATGTAACTAGCATACCAATCAATGTACGTGCTTACACAGCAAGTCAACATTGACACCGCATGTCCACGCTAGTACGCGGTGATACTCGTTGTAAAATGGAGAAAATCACGTCAGGATTACAAACGTCAAAGGAACCACAATGCAAGCATTCTATCCGTGCTGATCCAGCCACTTTTAATTCTATAGTATTCTGCAATGTAGGACACCAATATGATATGATCCCGTGACATAGTAGTGGTGTACTTTAACTTTATCTTATTCAATACAAATTTACAACCATTGCAAGAAAAAAGGACCCCGACGAAAGGCTTTATATTTCGACGCTTTTACTGTGTAAAAAAATAAAAAAAGTCCCTGGAAAATGCTCGAAAACAAATGTACGTTCGTATTTAAATGGTTTTTACCCAAATGAATCCAATCTTGACCTATTTAAATGCAATAAAGCACCCTATTTATTCCCAACTGGCCCAAATGTCACTGGAATATCCATCCACCGTGTTTTAGAAACCTTTCGTGACTGATCTCTGCGACACGTACAGATAGACAAAGACAGACAGACCTAACGTGATTATACATGAATGGTACACGGTACCACTCATTTATCTAATAATACATCGAAAAAGACAGTGAAATTCTCTGTTTCTTTCGACACAAAATGGGAGGCGGGCCACCCCATACAGACGTCGTGCGCTCGTCTTGTTTTGTGACGTTTCCAGAGCAAGTACATGCTGAACCAGTGCCTGTCGATGCGTGGTATTTGTTTGCAGCTGGATTGACATTCTTACGTCGTTTATCACGTGACCGTGTGGGTGATAGTATGCATATTGCGCTACTGCTTCAAGTCGTCGACGATGAAACTACAGAACGACGTTATGTATCTGTAGGTTCGAATACAGTATTGCAATGTGCACTTCAAGAGACGTTTGATTATCCGGATAAAGCATTGATATTGCATGTGATTGATGTGGGAAAAGTGCGTGGTCAGAAACGAATTCATGTCCGACCAGAAGTAAACCCGAATGTGTCTCCAGAACCAGTAGAGCCCATGGGATTAGTGTTTCCAATACTATCAGTTGATGGTGTAAGTAATGCTGTTGAGGTTCCAATAGCTCAGATGCCAAGTGGAAGTTTGTATAATCAAATGAGCCAGTCGATGTTTAATTACCGGAAGGATGACGGTGCACGATGGAATGGTGAAAAGTCTGGGAAGTTTTATGAATTGGATCAGAGTTTGAGTCAGAGCGCATTTTTTGTGGAGGAGAGGGACTATACACGAAGAGAGAAGCAAGAAGAGCAGCAGCACGAGACGTTGGGTGAAAGAAAACAGAAAGCTGGTGTTCCGATAGCGGTTGAAGCTGTCGGCAACTTACTTCCACCAGCCAAGCAAATGCAAATGGAGAGCGACTGTGTGGAACAAGAAAATGAGAGCACTATTCCTGTGGCAACAGTTGTAGAGGTCGACTCAGCGCACGTTCCGTGTGATTACGTGATGCTAGAGCTGCAGACGGGTGCAGGACTGCCAGAAACCCCTGCTAACGCTAGCTCAACGTACTTTATTTCATCTCGATGGGCAGAGCAGGCGGATGAAATGAGTGCGTCCATGAGATTGGAACAATTGCCACCACCACGCACTAGTTTGGTTCGTGCAACACCTCGCGGTAGCAATGTACCCGCTTTTCCAAATCTCGAGGACTCGTTTGTGATCCTTGAGCGCCAGGAGTTGTAAATAACACGAGGAACAAAACATGATGCTATATCTGTTGCATATTGCAGGATGCAATGCAATGTATTAACAGAAGAAGTGAAGAAGAAGAAGAAGAAGCGACCATAGACAGCGAGCCATTAGTTTGTAGCCATTTTGTAGACGATAAAATGACGAATAAAAGGTATTTATACTCTCTCTGTCCATGTCTATTTGTCGCCACTATAATCCGTGTTTAAGCATTAAAACACTATGATAAAAGTGCTTTTATCTAGTAGTCAAAAAAACGTGTGGCTCTACTACTACTACAAACAAACAAGCAAGATGGCAGCCATAACTGGTAGTGTTCTTAACATCCAAAGCGTGAGTCAATTTGATGAAATCACAGCACGTGATTCGACTCTTTCAATCACCTTTTTCTGGGCTGATTTTCATGAAGTTTGTCGTCCAAATGGACAATTGGATATCGTCCTTCGACAATTAGCAACACTTCATCCACGTATTCGGTTTCTTAAAGTCGCAGCAGAGGAATTGACGCAACTCTCGGAACGTTTTCAGATTCATCTTGTACCTACTTTTATTATTGCACAAGGTCGTTCGATATTGCATAAAGTAGAAGGCGCGAATGTCGCGAAATTGGCGAAACACGTCGAGATGTTGAGTAAAAACGTGAGTCTTGAGCAACCGAATGGGGAGTCGAGTGGTATTCGTTCAAGCACGATTGACACGACGTTGAATGGACCAATGGAACACAATCCATTACAAGATCGTCTGAAGAAACTAATCCATGCATCACCCGTGATGCTCTTTATGAAGGGTAATCCAATGGAACCGAAATGTGGGTTTAGTCAAGAAATGATCACATTACTGAATGAAGAGAAGATTCAGTTTGGTACTTTTGATATCTTGACTGACAATGAAGTACGTCAAGGATTGAAACAATTTTCAAACTGGCCGACATTTCCACAGCTCTATGTACATGGTTGTTTGATTGGTGGTCTTGATATTGTCAAGGAAATCAAGTCTGAAGGATCGATCCGTGAACAATTGAGACTGAACAAGAGTGTAGAGGAAGCGGAAGCAATACTCCAAGAGAGTCTTGGTGCATTGGTACATTCTGCACCTGTGTTGCTATTTATGAAAGGCACACCATCAGAACCCAAGTGTGGGTTTAGTAAAAAGACAGTCAAGCTCTTGCGTGATCATCACATTGCTTTTAGTTCGTTTGATATTTTAAGTGATGACGACGTACGTCAGGGTCTAAAAAAGTTTTCCAACTGGCCTACGTATCCACAGCTGTACGTGAAGGGCAAATTTGTTGGCGGTTTGGATATCTTGAATGAGATGGCGGAAGATGGTGACCTGAGCAAACAACTTGGCGTGGAAAAGAAGGCCAAGAACGACAACAAGTACCAACAACTGATTAATCGTGCACGTGTTATGATCTTTATCAAGGGAACACCCAAGCAGCCACAATGCGGATTTAGCCGCAAGCTCGTGGATATTTTGGACAGCGAGGGTTTTAAGTATGACTACTTTGACATTCTCACGGACGACAATGTGCGTCAAGGACTAAAGAAGTACTCTAACTGGCCGACGTTCCCGCAGCTTTACGTCAATGGTGAACTGATTGGTGGACTGGATATTGTTCAGCAGCTGCAGGAGGACGGTGAACTTGCACAGTTGAAGGAGTAAACGAAAACGCTGCTGTCTGTTGGTGAAGCCTGTGCATTGGAATAAATGATAACTGCTTGAGGTTTTGCAATTCTGTCCATTTCCATCGTTCGTAGTATTCCTTATCAATTTATCTATGGCGGTGCACGAAAGCTTTTAGAATAGTACAATTCTCACTCACTACGCGATAATTTGCGTAACAATACCAGCAGCGAGCGTCTTCCCACGATCTCGCAACGTAAAGCGCCCAAGCTGACGGTAGTGTGCAAACTCCTCGAGGCAGATCTTGCGATGACACGTGATTTGCACTACGGCCGAGCGCTCGCGGGTAATGCAACGCGGCTTCTTCTTCTCTACCTCACCAGTCTTGTCCAAGATGCTTACCAAACGTGTAATGTTAACAGGCTCGTCCACGTTGTGCATGTGTATTGTCACGCACGTCCCCTTTACCAGTGGAACCTCTACTGCTGGCATGGTCATAATCTTAGCCTCAAATTTCTTAGCAAGTCGCACGGGTGACGCAATAGAGCACAGGATGCTCCCAGTACTGTAGACATGCATATTCAGTTCGTACACACGCAGAAAATACTCTAGTTGAAAACGTCGACAAGAAAATCCTTGGATAACAGCAGCCAATATATCGTACGTTAATGCTAACGGATCGATTCCGGCGACTCCCATCTCGATCGTATCTCCAGCGCGAGCAAGTGCACAAGTCTTGCCGTCTTGTTCCATTCCTTGTTTTGCAACAAAGTGTTAAAAGCGGTGAGTACATGCAGGAATCACGAAGGCTTACCAACGCACTCACCTTTTATCGTCAAAGAAAGTCCGATTGGCATCAGAAGGAACTGTGCAATAACAAACGCCTCGTTACAGCAACGCTCCATGTTATTTTTACGCAAGTAAAAGAAAGCTTACCGAGTCGCCCACTGCAGCAGCACCTGCATAGATGCGACCAGTGATAGTTTGTCCTAGACTCATCGACTTCGACACATCAGAGACTGTCATTCGGAACGGCTTGGAGATCTGGCGTTGAGGAGGAGCAAAGGTATCTGTATGGCAATAAATGTTATGCGATGTTGGCAGCATGTAGCTAGAGATACCAGCACTTACCAATCGCCTCGACTAGCGAATGACCCGAATACCACGAGCATTCTTTGATTTCGCCAGTCTTCTCTAGGTTGGCGCCAGTAATACCACTGACCGGAACAAAACGCAAGTTCTTTAATTGAAATCCTGCACCCTTGAGGAACGTAGACAGCGACTTTACAATGTTGTCAAAGCGATCCTTATCCCAGTTAACCTATACACATGATGCAATGAGTCTAAAGCAAGCAAATACCATCAAAAACATTAATTTTAATCGCATCATATTCACCATATCCATCTTGTTGACTGCCACGACCATTTGCGAAACACCAAAACTCCGCACAAGCAACGTGTGTTCCTTAGTTTGTCCAGAATTCTCAAATGCTGCTTCAAATTCGCCAGTCACTGCCGGAACGACCAGCATAGCAACGTCTGCCTGCGCTGCTCCCGCAATCATTCTTGGAATGAAGTCGCGGTGTCCAGGTGCATCGAGCAAAGTGAGGTGCTTGGTAGCCGTTTCAAAATAGCTCATGCCCACGTCCATAGTGACACCACGAGAACGCTCCTCCTCGTCAGCATCCATGACCCAGGCGTATGCAAAGGACAACTTGCCAGCCTCACGCGATTCTTTTTCGTACTTGTGCATGAGTTTTTTGCTCACGTAGCCCAACTTGTACAACAAGTGGCCAGTAATCGTACTCTTGCCGGCATCAACGTGTCCAATGACTACCAAACTGATCTTGGTTTTACCTCCATTGCGCGTCTTCTCCTCGAGCGCTACCGCTTTGTCCTGTGTCTTCATCTCAATACGCTCAAATGCTTTTTTCTCTGCTGGTGTAAACTGCGTCTGTGTCCGTGAGATTGTAGATACGACATTGATTGCATCCGCTACCGATACACGTACAGACTTCTTCTCCTCGTTGTCATCTATTTTCTTCAAACATGGTGACGACATTGCACCACCACCAATAGCCATAACTTTGCCCTTGGTTGGAGCAGGCATGACAATTTCCTTCTTTGACTGAATCTCGTCATTCTCAACAGTCCTTGCCACTGTTTCAAGTTTTGGAATCTGAATTTGCAATGGTAATACACGATTCATCGTAACCACTGGAGTCTTGTCCTGTGTTTCTAGTAGAGCCATAACAGCTTTCTCTAGATCGTAATTTACATTACGAAGCTCTCGAATGATCTCGTCGTACGTGAACCTATTACTGCTCACAACCTGTTGGACTTGAGGCACCAAAACTTGCAGAATTTCAGCATCTTCTTCATTATTGATATGGTAAGATACTTGCATCTCATCTTGTGATACAAACGAAAAGACCGACTGCTGACGACTGGGTGAGTCTCGACGATACATGAATTCGTCTACAGATTTACATACTTAGATCAAATATACTACTATTTTGGGTAATATGCTACTATTTTGGGTATTTTCGGACCATGGTAGTGTCGGAAAGTTATTTATTTTTAGTTTACTTACTCGAATTCGGTGAATTGGGCTCACAGTCGTCATAGTGTTCGTCATACTCTGATTCATACATAGAGATAGAAAGGAAACAAGACGGTAAGAGAGACAGAGAAGATGAAGGATATAATGGAAGTGTAAATGAATCGACTGTACCTTCATCCTCGTATGAGTACACGCGGTTTCGTACGTTGCGATGGCGGGACATGATCGAGTTTGTATGAGCTTTTCGCTTTTACTTACTAAAATAGGAGCATACCGGTATGCTGATCGGTATATCGAGATAGTTTTCATTCAGATATTAGCTCATATGTCGAAAAACAAGTGTTTTGTAGGTAAATAGATATAAAAGGATAGTGTTGGCATTTATGTATGTGATTGATTGATCGAGAGAAACAGAATGAAATGAGAATTCCTGTTTTTGTAGGTTTGATTTATAGGTTATATAGGTACGTTTTTGTGAAAAGTGGTTGAAATCAACTTAGGCTTATGAATCGTAACAGATACTTATGAATGGTCATAGGTCCTAGAGTACTGCTACATTACTAGTGCACATAATGATGCAAGACTGAGACAAAAGACACATGTAGCAAAATTTGATCTTAAACTTTGAGTTTCTTGATAATGGCTTAATGCTACACTCACGTTTACTGTACATGAAGAACCATGTGCTGGCACTGTCTACTCCTCTAGAGGGTGTTTATACTCACGCGGATGGTGGTGCTCAATGAAACCAACATAAATACCAGCGCCAATGGGTCCACCAAGCAGTGGACCAACAATTGGTACCCAAAAGTAGGAATCACGCACCGTAAAGACCTCCGAACCCCAGCCAGCAATCCATGAAAAGAAGCGTGGACCAAAGTCACGCGCAGGGTTAATAGCATAGCCTGAATTCATACCGAAAGCCATACCAATGGCCACCACGAGTAGAGCTACCGCACCAGGCTGTGTGTACGGATTAGCAGGCTTGTTGAGCTCGTCACCGAGAGCAAAGATGCAGCCCATGAGTAGTGCCGTACCAACGACCTCAGTCAAGAAACAGGTGCCGACTGGAACATTGTTGCTGAAGGGGTAAGTGGCAAACACGCCCTGCATCAAGGTCCTTTCAGGATCAAGTAGGTTAAACATCGGGAAGTACAGAAGCCAAACAATGAACGCAGCAACAAAGGCGCCGAGTATTTGCGATATGATGTAGTATGGAACTTTTTTCCACTCCATACGGCCAAACCACGCCAACGTTGTGGTTATTGCGGGGTTCAGGTGGGCACCTGAGACACCACCTGACACGTGAATGCCAAAGAGGACACCGAGACCACCACACAAGTTGATGTTTATATACTCGCCCCTGGTGCCCTCGCCAAGGATCACTTGAGCTGCGACACCGTTCCCAAACATGGTCATGACCATAGTACCCAAGAATTCAGCTAGACATTCGCGAAAAAGCGACGACTTGGTGTGGTTTGGTTCTTGCACACTGGCGTAGCCGCTCTCAATTTTGTCGTCATTGCGTAACATTTTACTGCCAACGACGATAGCAAAGAGAAGGATAGCTATGACCGATACTACAAATCGGAAAATGAGCTGCTGGATCGGATCGACAGCCAGAATGTTGACAGGGCTTTGAATTGGTTGAACTTCAACCACTGCGTTCGTCGTCTTTTTTTCTATCAATGGTAAGGCCATATTCGAAGTAGAGTAAAACTGTATACGGGCGTTGAGTTGCTGTAAGCTGGACGCTGCTAGTGTATTTCCCTCAGTTCTGACTCGGCAGTGCAAAAAAACGGTCAGTCCTCTGTTCCCGCTCGGTACAATTGACTCCAAACGAGAGTTGATACAGTGACAGACCAGCAGTCTTAACCGTTACTTCAGTGTTTTCGATTTTTGCAGTGTTGCACGCTCGTAAACAGACCTTCATGACGATCCATTTGACCTTGATATAGGGACATGAAGACTTTGTCGCAAAGTTACGTGGATTGAGGTTGAAGCCATGAAAGGTCTGTCGCACTTTATGCTTGACGTGTGCTAATTGATGAGTCACCATAATACTTCCATAGAAAAGTGTGACGAGGCGACCACCACAGCAGCTGATGCTCATCTATCAGCATATCCACTTCGTGTGTAATGTATAAGCTCAATCTTGAACTGTAGGAGAGACGGTGTGTGGCCGCACGTGAGCACCGGAGAAACATATGATAGATAATCCAAAAAGCTAGATAGAAACGACAAAAAAAAACACTAGCAATTTTAGTCATGACTAGTAGTAGTCACGCGAGTAATGGTGCGTTACTATTCCATTGTTGACATCAGACCATCCAAAATCTGGAGCCTAGAGCTGTCCGAACTGTGAACACATGATCCAGTCAGCACATTGAAAGAAGAATCACAGGCCAAGATTGCGTAATGAAAAATATGGCATAACGAATTCATGTAAACGTCACGCAGGTCGTCAGTCAATTTGGGAAAGATGATTCCATGAACGTGACATGCTTGAGTATACGCTGCTATTGTTGCAAAGTATGACGATGGCAACCCTTTATATCTATCGCCTACTGTCGCGTTTTGTACTTGACAAGCGTCACTTTTTTCACGCTGCTACAAGGAACGACATTCAACGGAGGTGACGAGGCAGGTCTGATCGTTGTCAAGGTCGTGTATATTCATCGAACGGAGAGGCTTCATACATAACGTGTTGCTTTCATTGCTTTGAAACTCGTCTTGCCCCTGGTCGCATGCAAAAGCGTATCTTGTATTTAGGATCAGATGAGTAGTCACCATGTACATATATTGACCGCTTAAAAGGTTCGGCCATTTCAACGCTTGACGCGATGCTTGGCACGGTTGGTTGACAATAGATGTCAGCTTTACTCATCGTTTCTTGCAATTTATCAACTTTGGTTGTCGAGCTGGTGCTTGTAGTTGCGCGGGTGGTGGTGCTCCACTAGTCCAATGTAGACACCGCCACCGATCGCACCGCCTAGAATGGGACCTACAATTGGCACCCAAAAATAGTGGTCACGTAGAGTGAAGACGCGCACGCCCCAGCCAGCGCATAGCGAAAAGAGACGTGGGCCGAAGTCGCGTGCTGGATTGATGGCATAACCCGAGTTCATACCAAAAGCCATGCCGATTGCCACTACTAACAAAGCCACTGCTCCAGGCTGGGCATATGGGCTGGCAGGCTTATTCAACTCGTCACCAAGAGCAAAGATGCCTCCCAATAGCAAGGCCGTACCGACGACCTCAGTCAAGAAACATGTACCGACTGGAACGTCACTGCTGAACGGGTATGTGGCAAAGACACCTTCGGTGAATTCCTTGTTTGGGTCGATCTTATCAAATATGGGACTGTAGACAGCCCAGACGATAAAGGCAGCTACGAAAGCTCCCAATACCTGTGCGGTAATATAAGGGATCACTTTACGCCATTCAAGACGACCGAAGAGGGCAAGGGTCGTGGTCACTGCTGGATTCAGGTGGGCACCCGAGACACCTCCTGATGCGTGGATGCCGAAGAGTACACCAAGCCCCCAGCAGAAATTGACGTTGATGTATTCACCCGTTCTGCCCTCGCCAAGCACAACCTGAGCCACGACTCCGTCACCAAACATGATGAGCACCATGGTGCCGAGAAACTCGGCCATGCACTCGCGCAACAGCGACGACTTGACTTGGTACGGCTTTGCTGGCGTCTGCATTATCACCACGTCGGTATCATAGATGCCAGCGTAGGTATCTTTATCCTTGGTGATGCCGCTATCCGAAAAACGAGCCATTTCTAGAAAACGAAGAGATCGGAGAAGAGAGTAGAGAAGGGAGTGGAGAAGGAAGTGGAGAAGGAAGTGGGGAAGGAAGTGGAGCTTCTTGACGATTGAGAGAAATGGAAAGTGACCTACCAAGTGAGGACGGAAAAGCTCGAGAAAAGTGAGAGTGGATAGTGAGTGGATGGGACTGGACAAGCTTCATACAGTCACGTCTGGGGATACATTTTCATTCACGGTTGGTATCGAGCTGTCACTAGCGTCATAGTCACGCTGTGCGAGCCGATGGGATGTACTTCAATGTTGACGTAAAGCATAAGGCAAAAAAGGACCCTTTGAAGGTAACGTGAACAGTTTTACTATGTTGGCGCTGCCATAAAGGATCATTTTAGCTGCTTTATGCCGGTTTCCTACGTCTTATCGGATCTCAAGTAGGCTCCGCTCATTCTATATAACTCGTCGCATGTCCTTCGAGCACGGCATTGCTCAATGTTATTCTGAAGCTATCGACCTTCACAATTCGTATGGTAGTAGTCTATTATGCAAGCAGAGTTGGACACTCCAGGCGCTACGGCTCACGGTCTCCACGAAAAGTAGTTTTCGATCACACGAAGCCATCAGCTGAATCCGGTTTAGTGGGATTGGTTTCTTGCTTCAAAATGACGCATGACCAGTTTACTCCTACTGTTACTACTACTGTTTTGGCATGCAACTTAGGCATTGACGACCGACTGGGAGCGATTTGCGCTTTGTAGAGGTGACGTAGGACGCATCGTTCACGACTGAGACACCATTCCTCTGCACTGAGCCAGCTACCAAGATATGCGCTTTTCGCAAGCAAAACATTAAGAAGCTGCATTGGTTTTTGGGATGACGAATGGCTTGCTGGCAGCACTAGATATCAATGATCACCAAATCTCACGTAGTTGTCAAATTAACAGTGCACGTTACCAATTTTAATACAAAGAACACTCTGTACACTGACTGTTCTGAGCGACTTATGGCCCAAAACTTGGTTGAACTATTACACCTTATTCGAACACTGACTAGTTAATCCGATGCTACCAACCCGAGGAAGTTTTGGGCTGTACTGGCGAGGGTGATGGTGTTCCACAAGGCCGACGTATACACCCGCGCCGATTGCACCGCCAAGCACTGGAGCCACAATCGGGACCCAGAAATACCCGTCCCTCAGTGTGAACACCTGCGAGCCCCAGCCAGCACACAGCGTGAACAAACGAGGTCCAAAGTCTCGAGCAGGATTCAGAGCAAAACCCGTGTTCATGCCAAAAGCCATGCCAATACCCACAACCAACAGCGCCACCGCAGCAGGTTGCGAGTACGGGTTGGCGGGCTTGTTGAGCTCATCACCTATGGCGAAGAGACCGCATAATAGCAGTGCCGTGCCCATCACTTCGGTCAAGAAGCATGAGCTCACGGAAACGTCACTGCTATAGGGGTATGTGGCAAAGACGCCTTGCATGGTAGTCTTGTTGGGGTCGAGGATGTCAAAATGCGGCTTGTAGATAGCGTAAACGAAGAAAGAGGCTACGAAGGCCCCTATCGTCTGCGCCACGATATACGGGATAACCTTGCGCCACTCGAAACGGCGGAAGAGTGCGAGCGTGGTGGTGATGGCGGGGTTAATGTGTGCTCCAGAGACACCTCCCGAGACGTGGATGCCAAAGAGGATGCCGACTCCCCATCCGAAGCACAATGTAGTGTAGTCTCCCTTGGTGTTTTCACTTAGTGTGACTTGGGCGATGGACCCGTCTCCAAAAAGCACTAGGATGAAGGTTCCGAAGAATTCGGCGAGACACTCTCGAAGCAGTGGGGCTTTCAGTTGGTACGGTCGGATGGCCGGTGCATTGAACTCTACTGGTCTAGGCGACTGAACAACAGTGTAATCCTCGTCACGCTTAAAGCTGTATGAAAGTGGATCCATATTAGTGATACTCAAAAAAACAAGTTTGAAGATTGGAAGTTGGTGTAGTTTTGGGGGTGTTGGAAAATTGCAAACTGCGTAAGTTTCAAACATGGAGGAAAGTCAATTCGCTGCAGCCATGGAATAATTCCCAAAAACAGGAACCACTCTGTCAAAGATAACGATGCGATCAACAAAAATCTCACTCACAATGTAGATACATTCCCTATGTCTTTCGCGCCCGACTTGTACTGTCGATCGACCCTAACTGGAACGACTCTGAACGGAAGCCATATTCTCGGTGGCGTCAATTATTTAGGTCCGCTTTGTCTCATAAGATGTTCTTATCAAAAATTGGTGAGACGGCCGTGTTTACCCTATTGGATGTCAGCCTGACAGTCAGGTGCACAAGGCTTTCAACATGATTGCAATGCAAATTGCATACAATAGTAGTCTTCATTCCCAAATTTTTGTCAGGAAAACTGATTCACAGATTGAATCCCTCTTCTCTTGTCCAATGAAATGCTACGACCTTGTCTATTCTACACACCGTTTGCTCGCGAGTGCAATGATAACGACGTAGCAGCATAGTGGCTGCGGTGATCGACATCACTAGGTGACACCTAGTCTTGCAAATCTTATGAAAAGTTCTATTGGGATTCCAAGACCTCCGAGCTGGAAGTGGCTGCACGCCGCATTTTTGTCAAGCAAACGACAGTCTTTCATCTAGATACATACTTAAGCTGTTGGACGAGCCTGTTTACCGCAAAGCCGATGTCACTTCATGCAACACGTCAGGGTGGTTTTGTTGTGACATCTGATAAGCGGCGACGTAGCAAAAATTCGTAATTGCCGTCTTGGATGGCATTCAATTCATCGTAATGTATTAACCCAAGAAAGCATCGATTGAATCTTAGAAGGAATGGATTAAAATGTAGAAGGAATTGATTAATCGAAGAAAGAACCGAATGAATCTGACAAAGTACCGATTGAATCTTAATATCTGGTAGTTGTAGTCGCTTCTACAAAATTCTGAGCTCTAGTGGTGTATGTGCTCAGTAAAGCCAGCATCTCTGGGATCATATACGCAGAAAATACATGTAAATTCTACCTTTCTGAGCTGTTCCATCAAGATGCAACGCTGCCAATACATGGGAGAATTTTAAGCTGAAATGGCTGAGACGAGAGCATACTTGCTTTTGAGCCAACTCTTTTGAAAGCTGGTTTTCGCTCTTGCGTAGAAGACAACATGCAAACGTTGAAGAGCGTTTGTTATTGGACTAGATCTCGCGCATAATGCGGCAATAAGTGCTTTCATATGCAGGCCTGTGCCTAAGCGTAAGGATAGCCATGTTAATGCAGCCCCATTCTATTTTATCTTCTCGCTAGAATTGAAGTGGTACACTAAAGCTGTGGCGAGATTTCTTTCCGAGAACGCGCGTGAAAATAGCAATCTTTTTTCAATCGTAGTAACATCATCGCATGTCTCTCGTACAGTAAGTAGTGAGAATATCAAAAGTGCTGTAGCTGAGGTCTGTCGAAACGTAGATCGTCATTACTGAGTAAGCAGCTTTTGCTTCAGTGTAGTAGACTTTTATACACAATACCGAAACTACTTCATTATTAATGAATGAGAAACGATGGATAAGCAGTCCAGAATAAATTCAGATGGTCAGATGGTCAGGCGTATGGTGTCATTTGTTCGAGCAGTGATTACCATCGCAATTACGAATGCTGCGTCCACTGGACCTTAGCAAAGATCTGTCACTTTTTCCAGTATGCATACATTGTAATATTGCAATCGCAATCTAGCTCATAGCATCGGTATCAATCCTTCAGACGTGGCAAGCGGAGTTGGCAGATTTTGGGATTTCGAAGGTGTCAAATTTTTGTCAACCGCGTGCGATATAGCGAGCGCACCCATGCTAGTCTTTATATCTGGAGCTACTAGGTATAATAGGCAATGACAGTATTTTAAAGTTTAATATTTTTTGTCCTTTGATCAGCTTAGCCGAGCAGAATCCAAGTGTGTCAGATGAACTTCCATCGTTCGCCGGGACGTGGCGCTGAAATGCCTCTGAGATTTTGAAGGACCCGCACAACTGTCGGTACAGTCGTGCAACAGATATGTACTCGTTCGGTATGGTGTTGTCCGATGGTGCTGTTCCCTTCAGCGACACCAAGTTTGACTTTGAAGTCCGCTAAAAGGTGCTTGAGGAGCAGCGGCCACCACTTCATCCTGGACAATGTTGCCCACAGCGCTTTGCTCAGCTAATCGAGGAATGTTGGGCACAGGATCCAATCCATCGTCCGTCAGCACCCAAAGCCGCTGAGATTTTTAACACGATTCTGGACAACATGTCGAAGGACTCGGATGATTTTGCCACAATGGCGTCAGTATCTGGCTCCGAATACACGAACAGCATCTTTTCGTCCTTGCGAAATGGCGACGGTACATCTGATCTGGATCACCGTCCCAGCTCTATCCTGGGTCCGCGTGTGACGAGCTTTTTTCGCGGCCGGTTCTCTGTCCGCAGCAGCAGTGGCAGCTAGATGAGCGAAGAGTACCATGACCACCAAGACAATGAACGGTTTTACAAGTCTACATCTCCGTATGCTCGGCCAGATAGCATTCGTATGGTGAGCGTTCAAAACAATACGAATGTGGAATTGAGTCCAGCAAACCTCGAGTCAACGGGCCTCTCTATCGTGGGGCTTCCGAGCGATGGCCAACAGGGTGATGGTCTGGTCGGAGGTCGTCTTTCATCATTAGACGAGTCCGACGTTGAAATTGAGGGCATTGCGTCCGATGTGTCCACGATCTACAGCAGAAATCCGTCCGTTGGAGGAGCCTCCGTGTTACTGCCTTCCAGTCAGGTCAACTGCATCAAATGCAGGCATGAAGAGGTCGGAGGGAGCGATGATTTTCGACGAAGTGAAGATAAAGCTGAGTTTGCGCTTGGCGCTAATGGTGGAATATGTCACCCTCAGTATTAGATAGAGAGCGGAGTTTGACCTGTGACTGATAAGTGGGTCTAGCCGTTTGTATTTATTAGCCACGAATAAGGTCGAATAGGTCTTAGATTAACAACATGCTCAAGACCTTGTAATAAGCACTTTATAATAGAAATACAGCAGTCGTCCAAAAAAGTAAAGATAATATTGCAAAAATTACGTCATGAAGTTAATTAACGCAAACTACGCGATAATATTTCTACTTGTTAATTAATAATCATAATGCATTTGTTCGTAATGGCAAGCATCAGTCGTTTAGTCTAAGATTGGTCTTATTGAGGCCACTCATTCAGCGGAATTATCAGAACGAGGAATTCACTATGAGCAAACTAAAGTCTTGAAAGACATCACATGCTCACTCTAATATACAGAGCTTTTAATTACGGAGCTATTAATCAGAGCTTTTAAGTAATAAGGTAAATTTGAAACTGAAGTAGCACTTCTTTGAGTGTCAAGAAAGAATTTTGACTCCATTTTATAGCATTGACTATGTATGTCGTCGGGTGTGAAGCTATCAAGTGCCAACTTGTATTAATTCCATTGCAGTCTCTTATATCGGAGTGTAAAAGTCGGTTTTACACTTCCTTTTATTAGCGGTAAGAAATAGCGACAGTAACAATTCCTGGCTATTTTTGTCTGAGGTGGTAGCACTTGATTGGCTACATGAAAAAATATGAACCCATAAGTAGAGAGCATTCATTACTACCATCTAAAAGCTACTACTATTAATAATAGTATACTACATCACAAAACGGTAGTCAAAAACGAGCTGTGGTTGACACTACTATAATCTCCCTCCGAGTCCTGCGCTCCTAGCAATGGATTTCTTACGGCAGCTCGCCGTCGACCTCAACGCACTGCGTACTGAAGCCAAGCGTAAATATCCAGTCGTGAAGGAAGCAGTAGACCGTGCACTGGAGACACTCCCAGCTTTACAGCATCAGTATGCGACGTTTCTACGCATGGAAGAACGTGCCCCAGGACCAGGCCACAGTTTGTTTCAGAGTGAGAGCGTCCTACGTCCTTTTCTACTAGCATGTAATCATACAAATGCGTCACATAAGATACTTGTACTGGCATTGTCCAGTATCCAGCGTCTCGTGAGCTGGGATGCTATTGAACCTGCTAGTGTCGGCAGTATCCTGCGCGTCCTGCAGATTCAGACCGAGAAAAATGCTCATGCTGATGTTCAGGTCAAGTTACTTCAGACATTGCTACAATTAATGACATTAGCTTATGAGGAGAAGAAAAAGGGAGTAGGGAGACCCTTGACACGGATTACAATGTCGCAGGACGGCGAGACTTTAGGTTCGGATAGGATTGTAGTCGGGTGATTTTTTTTTCATAGGTGTGTACTAACTGGGTTTTATGGGTTTTATCAATTTTTGTTCCAATGACACAGCGGGTGAATTAGTAGGGAATAAAGATATGGTGATGAAGGCCGTATGGATCTGTATGCATCTTCACGCAGCAAGTAGCAGTGCCAGCTCTGTCGTAGGAAATACAGCCGCAATGACCATTCGACAATTAGTTTCACTGGCGTTTGGAAAAGTAGATTCAAGTCCAGAGGCTAAACAGGTGGGAGTGTTGCTGTTTCAGGAGTTGTGCTGTTTAAGTCGAGAGGAGAATGGGATGTGGTTGAAGCGGACAGCGACGTCGTCAATGAGTGCTGCATTAGGTGTTGAATTACTCGAGACGATCTTGGCATCCCATTATGACCTCTTTCGATTCGATACCGAGTTCAAGGCTGTGTTAAAACAACAGATGACTCCGTTGGTGCAATCCGTGCTCGAAATGGGCTGCAATGACAAGCATGGTGGGTCTGCAGGTTCAGGTATCACGGGCCCAGCGAACGCGTCAATCACTAGCAGTCAGACAAACGGTGGAGCGGGTCCGTTCTTCCCGCTGCTTGTTCGCGGCATGCGACTTGCGAGCACACTACTGTGTCATTTCGCTGATTGCCTAGATGACGAGTGTGCTGTGCTTGTGCATGCGTTGCTAGAAATTATTGCCACTGGAACGTACACAACTCCAGCTACGCCAAAAGCACCAGTAATTTCGTCCAAGTCACTCGACTCGAAATTTCATGCGGCGAATGCGATTGCGAATTTCAAGGATGCCAAAAACTTTTTGACGTACTCAAGTTTATCGAGCTTGAGTGCTTCCAGTGCATCTGGCGCTGCTGGAGGAGGCATTAATTTTGTTACATGGCCAGTTCTGCTGTCTCTGGAAGTTATGAATCGTGTTTGTCTGGAGCCTGACATGGTTGCTGCAATGGTGAGCTACCCTAATGGGGTGCTAGTTGCTATCACTCGCACTACGTCTTCTGTCATCATGACATCATCTCCATCAGATTTTAAGCCTCAAGGTTTGGATGCAACTGCACCTCGTTCGGGCCTTGAGCTGCTAAACGAGCAAGAAACGCCCACACTCCAGCAATTTTACATTGCTGTCCGTGTTGCTTCTTCGTGTCAGTGCAATATGGCAGCCTCCATTTTTGAGCTGTCAAGATCCACAGACAATGAAAAAGAGTGTGAAAAGCTTGCTAAGGCATGCGTTGCTGTAGTAGCCCCTGCAGTAATTCAGTCTATGAATTGCGTGATGCGGTACTGCCGCGAGGTGGACCTTGTCACCATGTCTCTCAAATCATACCACGTGCTGGCTACGATTGCGTCACGGCTTCGATCAAATATGCACAGCCAAACCGCAAGAGATGCATGGTGTCAGCAAATGGGTGAGGTAGTTGTAACCTGCTTACGAGCTTTATGCGGTTTTTCCTTTCCGTTGCCGGATGGTATTCGAGGAAACTCAAAGGGGTCCATTTCAACGACTGGCTCTGGCAGCGGTGGGTCTGGCGATTATCCAGATGAAATAGTGGCAGACGACGGCGAAAGCTGTCTCGTGATAATTAGTTGGCGCGAAGTGCATGCGATGAAGGCACTTTTTGGTGCTGCGCACGTTATGTGTGAAGAGCTTTCGCCGATAGACTGGTGCGTGTTACTGGAGGGCTTTGAGATCGTTGTGGGTCTTACGAATCCGAAGCTAAAGAATGGGCAACAAAAGTTACCTACTAAGAATTACCGTATCAGCGCTTTCCGAGTTGAAGACGAAGATGTAGAGCAGCAGCTGATAATGCTGAGTAATTCGATTCTTGATTTTTTTCGTGATGCGCTCAAGCTGAGCAGTGCTGCACTGCGTAAGCTGCTAACTGCAGTTCGAAGGGTTTCTTGGGATCAAGTTGGTCTCCCGGTGCCGAACAGAGAATCAGGTCCGGCTTCTGAATCTGCTAGCATTGTGTTGTCCTGCGATGACTGGACAATTGTGGATGATGGTAACACATCCAGTCCCGCAAGCAACCACCATATGAGAATCTACCAGAGCTACTTAGGTGTTGGTCTCACTGGCTCTGGTACTTTCATGCCATGTTTCGCTTTACGCATGCTGACTCAGCTAGCGTTGAGTAGTAAGCGATGCTTTGAGGAGGTTATGCGTGAGCTGGTTCTCATGAGTACGTTTGAGCCGCAGGCTCCGCTAACGGCAGCCAAATTCCCCCAGCTAGGCCAATTCCAGGTCTTCACTACGGACAGTATCCTGCAACTCATGCAAAACGCTCTGCAACATGTCGTCAAAAGTGCATTACCAACCGCGAAATCGGCAACGAAAGGTCGCGAAGGTGTCAGAAACGAAGAAGTTCTTACAACACCGCATGAATTTGATCAGCAAGAACTGTTCATGCCACTGCTGATATTGGCGCGGTCGGACATGAAGGACCGAGCATTGACTGGCCTGCTTGAAGTGCTTAACGCTTGTGGTCACCTTATCAGCAGTGGCTGGCCGCTTATATTAGCTGCAGTGCAGGAAGCTTGTGAGACCGAAGACGGGAAGACACAGGTACTTGCTTTCAAGTGCTTGCGCCTCATTGTTGACGATTTGGTGGTGTCAATTCCCAGCTGTTACCTTCCAGATTGCATCGAGTGCATTGGACGTTTTGGCAGTCGTGCAAAGGATGTTAACATTAGTCTCACGGCTGTGAACGAGCTTTGGAGCGTGGCTGATGTGATTGGGAAACAGAAGGCCGACGCCGGTCAGCGAAAACAAGGCCAGTGGGGGTACATTTTTGCTGAATTCAGCTCCGTAGCGTTAAACGACCGAGCTGAGGTGCGGAACAGCGCGATTAACACGCTTTTTGGAACGGCAGTGACATATGGTGCTCAATTTGAACTAAGTGAGTGGCAACTGTTCATAGAGTCGACGGTTCTGCCGCTTGCTGCAAAATTGTGTGAGACGCAGAAAAGAAAGAGCTCGAGTTTGCTTGAGAAGGATGAGCCGAAGGCGTCTGCCAACTACATGCTTCATCACTCACGCGACAACGCCGAGAAGCAGTGGAACGAGTCTCGGGTGCTTATGCTGACTGGCATCAGTCGTGTACTGGAGACGAATTGGCACTACCTGTTGCAGCATTCGTCGTGGCATGCCTCGATGTGGAGAGAGCTACTTCAGCATGTAGCACTGAACAGTGCTTTTGGAATGCCCAAGGAAGTTGTGCTTGCGGCTGTCAAGACGCTCCAGACACTATTGCAAATCTCGTCGGCAGGAGATTTTGACCACATTGCACAGTCACAGCCTGTTCGCGTTGGTGTTGGCATGCGGGTTGTTGGGGGGTGCTCTTGTTTCGCCGTCAACACCAACATCTGCTGCATCAAATTCTCCGATCCTGCGCCGTGCTACCTCCACCCTAGCGTTTCGTGATCCTGCACTTTGGGAGAAAGCGTTCAGTCAACTATTGCGCCTGTGCGACGAGAGGCAAATTGCTGCCCAGAAGGACAAGAGCCCTGTTCTTTCCTGGAAAGAAGACGAGGAGCAGGAGATTGCGAGCGCAGTAGTGATGGTGCTGGTAACGCTTTATACGCAGGCAAAAGAGTACGAATTTAAGGATGTGCGCAACGTGAATAAAATGTTGGATCTATTTGCAGCGCTGATCTCACGCCATGTGCTAGGTACGCCTACAATTGGCAACGGAGCAGTGACCAGGGCGATCACCAACATTGCGACAAACAGCTTACAGTCGCGCGTGCTAAACGCATTTGAAGAGTGTGGCTCATTTGCATCTCATCCAGAAGTTCACACAAAAACGTTGGATCACCTTGTGGGGTATGTAACACAATCGTCGGCTAAGGATCTTGTTTTCTTCACCCGCCACGCACTAACTTCATTGGCAAAGCTGTACGCGAGCGTATCAAAGGAGGCCAAAGAGAAACGTTTTTTGTCGGTTCTCTTCTGCATCCAGCCATTCTTAAAGTTTGACACAAGCCACACGACGCCAGAATCAAGCCCAGTATCCGAGTCATCTAACAAGCCAATGACAGCTGCGCAGAAAGCTGCGACACAGTTGTGGAAGCACGCTTTGCGTGTTCTCTTGGTCGTTACTTCAAATGGGCTTGTGGCTGTCCGGCTGGCCGAAGCTTGCTGGAGGCCTTTGCTTGAAACCATCGCAGATTTTATCCAGCCAAATGAGGGCAGGTTTCCGTCGTGTGTGCAGTCAGAAGAGGATGAGGTGCTGGTGCTGAGCGTGCTGGAGTGCGTGGTGGACAGCTCCATCGCGCTGCTCGGCGATGGCAGCGGCATCAAGTCTCAAGTTGGACACCAATACAATGCGTTTACTGGCGATTTAATAGCACTGCTGTGCTCAGGTATGGACGCAGCCAAGCACAACAAATTTATCTTTCGATGCTACGTACGGCAGCTGGCCACAATGTGCATTCAAACGGCAGACCAGGAGCTGGCATCGGTCGCAGGTGCCCGATTTGTTGCGTGCTGCAACACAGCCTTGGTGTGCTTTGCCAATTTAGACAGTTCTACGCTCTCCAAACCCCAGTCTGTAGACATATTGGATCAAACATCGTCATCGTCATCAACGCTCTCAGGGGTTGATACCCATGTTGTTGCAGCTCGCGAGAGGGTGGTAGTGCTTTTAACAAGTGCATTGGAGGTGGACATGGAGCCGCGTAGCATAATGGAGATGTATACAGCGCTATGTGGCTGCATCTCATCTTCCAATTTAGAGGTGCGCCAGCTTGTGCAGCAGCTGCTCCTGAGTGGCCGGCTTCCTGAATTTTGCCTAGAGCTCATGGATTCATGGGAACGTCGGTCTCATTAGAATTCTAAAAGAGCTGCCAATGGTGACTGCCATGGATAACGGTTCATACTACAACCATAGTTGGGACTCATTTGTAACGTATGCAATCAACGAGAATACGCGAAACATCACTCGTGATGCAGTCAGCATCAATCCTGTTTTCCGTAAACATGTGATCAAGCAATACTGGTGGTTATGTATTCTGTGGACCATAATAGTCTCGTGTATGCTCTCGCATTATGAAAAAGGCTTGAGAAGTTGTCTTGCAGTCACATGTATCATTGCAAGTTGCGTTACCACTGAATTACAATGATTTGCTTGACCGGCATTGCAGACATGAATACCAATTGGTGAGCGTGGAATGTAATTGCCGGAGCGACGAGGACACTTCAGTGGAGCTTTTGATTTAGCTATACAATCCTAACAGCATTCACCTAAGTTCTTCAGCAAGCGTCTCCATGACGCGCGACGCACCGTCGGCAAGAGTAGCCATGAGCGCGTACTGGGGTTCCGATACGTTGCGACTTTCGCCAGCGCTGATGCAACAGAACGTCCCAATGGCAGTTGAACCTCCACCATTTGGGCACATGATCCTTATAGGAAAGGCAAAATAGAAACGTATGTCACCACGACGCACAGCATTCATCGCACTGAAGCGTACATCAGCTTCGGGATGGCGAACAAAAAGCGGCGCTCCATTCATGAGGGCGTGAGTACACAAGGAGTGATCACGAGGAGTCTGGGACCCTATCCAAACAGGGTTGGTGGATGCCACCACGTGCACCACACTGGGTCCTACAATGGTAACCAGCGTAGTATCACATTGTAATTCCGAACGAGCGATATTGCACAGTACCATCAGGTCCGGAAGATTCATCATGCTCGAAATAATGTTAGGATGACTGTTAATCCACTGCAAACGACGGGCTTCATCAGCTGGAACGGGATGGCGCGCCAAACTGATAACCTCTTCACCGGCATCACCGGCATCTTCAGTGTCTTCAGCATCTTCCACAGCAGCATTGCTATCACCCAGATCTGCATACTGCAGCGCGTATTGACGTCCCGTGGCACCTGCTACAGGGGGAACGTCACAAACTTCTGGACTTGATGAGCCCCCAGGCGTGACTTCAGGAACCTGCTTCGTCTTTGATTTCGGTATACCCGCTAAGAATCCTTGTTTCTCTGCTAATTGGCCCAAGCTCTTGGCCAATTCAGCCGAGTCGGCACGGAATTTATTGTGTTCTTTCTGATGATTCAAGCTAAGGAGGTGCTTGATCACTCGAATAACTGCAGGCTTGTCTTCTTGAGAAGCACTTCCGAGCAGTTGGCTAAGGGCACGTGCGATCACCACGCTAGCTGGTTCAGTATTAGGAGAATCAGGCTGGACAGACACAGGCGACAAACTGCTACTTGAAGTGCAGTAATTGTCATAGTCTGCATCGTCAACGCGCTGCATGCAGTGTTCGCAAAGACATACGACCTGGCTGTGTTTTGTACCGTTGTTTAAAGGCTCCGACATTCCCGACAAGGATTCCTTGCCGATCGTACACACACAACGAGCACAGACAAGAAACCCGCACAATTGACAGCGCTTGGAACTCTGCGACGACGTTTTTTCGCCCTTCGAGATGCCGAATATGTTCTTAACGACACTGATACGGCGCGTACAGCACGCACAGCGAGAGTTATTAGGCTGCACCTTTTGCAAGTCGACAAGTACTTGCGCGTCAAGCCGATGCCGACGCACTGCAACATGAAGATGATTCAGTGTGCGCGCGAGCTGTACGGCCCGTGCAAGCACAGCTCCATTCGATGCATCGCTGGCTTCTTCGCCATTCCTCGCTAACTTGAACCATCGAAAGGGTGAGGGTCTACTGTAGCCAAGGGTTGTTGCTACATGTGCGCAAAACGTGACTCGGACGGCTCGCTTTTTTCTTCTTCCCTTTATTAGCCCGTGTGGTTCAGCAGTGACGAGATAGAGCACAGAGAGTCCTCGGATATTAGTTACACTAGCAGCTTGAGCCTTGCCCGTGAACACATCATCTGGATGCAGCGACGCAAGTGAAACGGTAAACCCTTGAACTTGATCCTTGCTAAAAGCTTCCAGCGTCTTAAGAGCACTCACATGGCACCATTGCTCATTATGTGCCAGCATGTGGCGCTTCAAAAACGTTGCCGTTCGGACCGTAATGTTCTGCGTCGTAGTTTTCTCGGCATGATGTACAATAGCTCCATAGATAAAGTCGTGCCCGACCAATTCTCGCATCACGCAGGCATACCGATCACTAGTAGGTGATGCTAATAATCCACGCATTTCAGCAAGTGAACACTCAATGACACTTGTTGAAGTGATAACGGTACCGTCAATCGAGCGTTCCGTCATGATACCAGTAGATGCTGAGCGTCGATATTGCAATGCTTTGAGGTCAATACGGGCTGCAGCTTGAGCAGCTACTTCAGCAAGGCGTCGGTCACTAGCACGTACGTAACGACGTTTTGGACCAGTGCTATTCATTGTGTACCCTTTGAAAATTCTTTCTCGTGCTCGACCGGTTAAATTCTATTGTGTCGTCATGCTTTGCCACTCAAAATTGACACCTGAACAAGCTTACTTACATACAACTGTCGTTTGCATAAAGCGACGAGTTGATTTCAAGAGCCATTGAGATGGGAAGGGGACGCAGGCAGGACAAACATGAACCACGCAACCTCAGCTGAAAAAAAGTGGTAGAAGGTAGTTGGAATCTCACGTACGTTGATTGAAATTGTGAGATGCAAAGCTTGGAAGCTTGTGGAAGAAAAGGACTGGGTTGCGTTGCTTGTCATCTACGAAGCGACTGGCAAAAAAAGGTGGTTCATGGTAGAAAGGTCAAGAAGAATCTAAAGCTGAGTTATGAATTCATATCTCGGCTGGCTGGCTGGTTGTTGGGCTCTTGTCCTCTATCTATGTATAGGTCCATGGCATATGTAAGCAATCCATTGCTCTAGTTATTTCGTGACGCGGTCGGTAGATATGACGGTTAGCTATGATCGCCGTATGATGTTACTTCATTACCCATTCAGGTCGCTCTAACCATATCGATTTCACAATCTCTTGGACTATTTCTTTGGTACTTGGTGGAGCTACTCACTGGCTCCAGTATATACGCAATATGGATAGGCTCTTCAATGCACGACAGCAAGTATAGAGTAGGTGCAGAACACCAACATCTTAGTGACACTGCTCGCACGTCAGCCAACTGTAGTCACATCTATACTGGATAGACCATACGTTGATTGATTGATACTGTACAATCAATCAATCACTTAGCGTTTAGTGTTGTTGTTGTTGTTGTCAGAAAGAATCCATCTTACAAAGATAGAAGGAATTGAAGCGGTTATTGAAGCGAACTCAAAGCAAGTCTTCTTCTTCTCACATGATGGGTAAAAGAAGTTCATCAGTAAGTACTCCGAACAAGTAGCATGCAACGCCGTCACACATGACAAAGTCTTTGTAACGAATGTATTTTATCTTCCCGTAGGATGATTTGTGTGACTGATATCACTGGATAGAAGAAGCTCGGGTAGTAGCACGGATCCTATGCACATGACTGGCATCAATGGTCTTGAAGTGTTGCAAAAACGCTTGTCATGGACAGTCTACACTGTTGCAACAAAAACCCCAGCAAAATAGAGAATGCTCTCGTCTCTAGAACGGCAAAAAATTTTATGCCACTGCAACGAATATGTCCGAAGCTTCGTTACGTCGCGACATTCGCGTGACTCGACCCGAGTCCGGTGAGATAACAGCGTTGTTTCGATGGCGTGAGCGTGATCCGTCTTTGCGACCCACGTGTACCATTTGCATTCAATGTTACGAGTGTGTTGAAAATTCACGTCAGAGGAGTTGCCACTAACGGCGGCATTACATTGATGCCACCGAGGCCAAGAATCGAAGCCATGAGCGACTCAAGGACAAGATCACTCACTGTATTGAAGTCTAATTCAGTTTTAGGAAAACGTTCTTGAAAATGAACCTTTCGTTCTTTCGGTGCGATATTCGAGATGGGTGTCATCGTCGCATCGCTTTTGATGATGCTTCCATGTATCACGCTGTAATGGTTTGAAGATGATAGTGAATGCAGAATGAATGGAGATGCAGGCTCTACGAGAACGAATGCTTGCCACAGTGGAAAAACAACTTTGTTTCATGAAGCTAGCCAAATGCAGCTGCAATGACTGCATACTTGTTCATGTGCATTGGATGTTGAGCACAAAACAGATCTGTCAAATTTAGTGCTGATGAATGACAAGCCCGTCCGTAGTTGGTTGTATAGCTTGCACAGCTCGTTTACGTCGGGCAAGCAGCGATAGCTCTAATTTCACCGATAGCTCTAATGACGTGCGCAAAAAAAGATGGAGTCGTTATTGTGGACATTCCAGCAGCTTCTGAAGTCAGCTAGCTATCCATGACAAAGCTTCAAAGCTTGGCATAACGGTCGACCTAGATCAAGCGCTCAGCGTGACGATAGTATCCTGCTGACCTCAACTGCTGCTCAAAGCGTATTGGTGGTGCAGGCAATTGCGGCAAAAAACAAGCCGTACATGCCGTAGAAGGTGGCGGTAAGGAAGGCCTGGCCTCACTACAATCACGAACTTTGCGATGCCTGAAACTGATGAAGACAGCCAAATTGCACCGGATGTAGACCTATATACGCAATATCAATTCTCCGATCAATACTTGAATACGTATGGAAACAAAGTATACGCTGCAGTACTACAGGTTCTGTTTGCCTGTAAACTCACTTATTCAAGGCAATCCAGATGAAGTCCACAAAGTAATGTCATATCTTACCTTGAGAGCTATAGGATGTCAAGTCATAGCTTGCCACAGGGCTCGCTGAAGTTTGGTAAGCCGGCTGGAACCTATTACTAACAAGCCGAAAAAGCATAAGCTAGACTGGTGAATGTGGCAAGTCTGATGATACAATCTGGTTATTGACGTCAGGCGACGTCATTCAAAACCCATGGCTTGTTCCTGCAATGCGTCAACAACTGCCTGCTCCACAGGGCTGAAGTTCCCATCAGGTCGGTTCAAGTTCATCTTGCGGTGTAGTCGCACATTTGGGTTGCACATGATGCGCACCGACTCCACCCCTTTCTGTCCGAGATTCTTGCTTCGAGCATGCAGCATGAACGGATGCACCAACATCACGTCGCCGGCCTTACCGTTCACCTCCACAACCTCTCGTCGTCGAAACTGTCTGGCCTGGTAGCTCACGGCACCACCTTTCATCCCACGCGGCTCGTTCTTCTTCAGCAGCTTTGCAATCTCCTTATGTGACCCCACAGACAACGCTGTACCTCCTTCACACGGTCCAATATCGGAGAAGAGGAAGATTGCCAGCAGCCCGGACTCTCGACTATCCACATGGTGTTGGTACGACGCGCCATCCACGTGCCACTTGCCGGCAGCGTCCCACGGCGGCTCTGCCTGGCCCGGGAATGTGATCATCCACCATCCGAGGCCAAAGTCTTCCCACTGGTTAGGTCCGCATAGCTGATCCAGTGCTCGCTTTAGACGTGGAGTTATCACATCGGCCCAGACTAAATTGTCTTCCATCGTATAGAGTTCTGCTTAACCACAGTAATACACAGACAATGAGCAGGTTATCCTCTCTATTGCATGGTTATATGTATTGCCATCAATGACCTGCAATGCCATGTCTCTCTACCCACGTGGACGAGTCTTTCGTGATACCATCCTGGGCCAATCGTTGCCAAATCAATTCACGACACTTTTGAGCAGTAGATGACGAAAAGGCTCCAGAGAGCAAGACAAATCCATCGCGGATAAACCTTTTGATGGCTTGTTGGTTTAGTGGCGGTGTGTTGCTTGACATGTGCTGCTTCTTGTCAAAACACTTAGTCGCAACCAACTTATCTTGATCACATACTCGCTTCATTTCTTCGACCTGAACTCAAATAGTGGAATAAACGGGTTAACGAAAAACTATCATTCCGCAGCATATGCTGTCACTTAAAACCGTGTTAGTTCTATCCTGCATTCGTGGTCTTTTGCTCTATTTACCCACCACTCGCTACAGTTGAATAAGATGTTTCTATCGCCTACTCTCTACATTGTTTTAGTTCACGCTTTAGCTTTGCGCTTTTTCGTATTGCGACCGGGTACAGCAGATATCTCCTGAAGAAAAACAGTTTGCTCCTCGTCAATTGTTCGCTTTACATACTTGAGACCAGCCAAGTTAAAACCAATGCGACTCTTACTCTCCACAAGTTGCGAGCGTAATCGCTGCCACAGTAGCTCAAGCTCAGTGAAAAGACCCACACGCGCACAAATAGCCGAGTTGTGCAGCTTGAGCAGGAAAAGCAGAACGCGACAGCAGAACTCCAATTCCACATGACTCGAAATCAGTTGCAATAGCAATCGGATCAGGCGCTCCACATAGTCGAACGGTAGCACGATAAGTGCCTCTTCCATGTCATGCGGTCGGATTCGACGCATCGTATGGAGCACGTACTTGAGCGGCGAGTAGCCCAGTAGCAACATGTTAGGCGGACGTACTGCCGTCTTAAGCTTACTCAATTCCTCCTTATCAGCATCGTTCTCGTCTTCAGGCCCGAGCAAAGTATTGGCCATCGCCTCCTCAACAGCCTTCTTTTTCTCCTGCTTGCGCTTCTTTAGGGCGACCTCAGCCTCCTTCATTTTCTTCTTTTGTACTCTCTCAAATTCTGCAATAGCTTGTAGCTCGGTTTCAGCCAAGTCAATGGCTTCCATCAGACTCTCACCGGCACGAACCGACTCGATAGTCCGTTTCGCGGCGGAAGCTGAAACGTCCTTGGTATCTTCGTCATCCTCACCCTTTTTGCCCAAAGCAGGCCCCTTGTTGTTGCTGCTGTTACTCAACTCATCCTCAAAGAGCTGCTCCATCTCCTTCTCTTTTTCTTCCTCAATAAATACTTGGTCCTCCGTGCGAACGTATTTGCATAGCGAGCGGTCCTGCGAACAACTCACAACGAAACTACCATCACAGCTTACTGCAAGTCCCCACACTTCGCCAAAGTGCTGGCGATCAATCTTCAGGATCCGCTCAAAGTGATCGCCGTCCCAGTAACAAATCGATTTGTCCTTCGATGCAGTAAAGAAGTAATGCGTTTTGCGCACGAAACGCACGCACATAATGCTGTCCTGGTGCGCAAAGATCGACTTGTGACAATCGCCGAAATCGAGACCCCACAGCTTCACATTCTTGTCAGCGGATGCCGTCACCAGCATGGCATCGTCTGAAGAAATATCCATCGACATTACCGGCAACTTGTGGCCATACAAGCTTACAAAAAATTTCAGCGAATCATCATGGAACACCTTGACTGTGCAGTCAAGCAAAGCCACCGCAACTACTAATTTCTTAGTGTCTTTCGTGTTGCTAAAACGAACGCACAGCACATCATCAGACATTTTCAGCATACGAGCATGCGAAAGGCCCAAACGCAGCGCACTGTTCGGCTCCGCATCTTCTGGGCGGTACATCTCAAAATCCCAAAAGTTTACGTGCTGGTCAGCACCGCCGGTAACAATTCCACGCCCATCAGGACGCACGTCAATGGACCACACAGCGCTGCCGTTGTGAGCCTTCTCATCCTTCCAGATGCACTCGCCTGAGTTCAGGTCAAAGAGAAGCAACTGACCAAGCTTTGTACCCACAACAACGTGCATGTTGCCTGGTGCAAACACTGCCGACAGTGCCAAAGAAAGACTATCGCTCAACGTACGAATGCACTGAAACGAGTGAGCATTCCAGATCTTTACAGCCGTACCCGACAGTGACAAGATAAGTTGATCGTCTGAACTGATAGCCACCTGACGAACATCCGATCGGTGTCCACTCAACGAAAGTACGTGAGACTTTCCATATCTACCCTCAAGCGTTGGTGCACTTGGTGACAATGTGTACGTCTCGATGGTATTGTTCTGCAATCCAAGCATCAATGACGTGGTTCCGTCCTTCGCCGCATCTGGAGAAAAGGCAAACGACTTAATACGATGAGACGATCGCACCACACACATCAGCTCCAGTTCGTCCGTAGCTGAGTTGTCAGCTGCGTCCTCTTCTTCCGTTTCCGCTACCTGATGAATCACAAGTTTCTTGCTGTTCATTGTTCCTTCAACTTGCTGTTTTTTCTTGGCCTTTTCACGTTGTCGCTTTTCGCGGCGTTGGCGTTTCTTCTTGATCTCGTCGAATGATCGCACGCGGTAAATCTCTACGGTCTTACCTGCATTCTGCACGCCCACTAGGTCTCCCTTGGGACTGTACGCTACACTAGACGCACGGTCACTGCTCTGTCTGTAAATCGAACCCATGAGTTTCACCGTCTCTCCTTCCTCACCATCCTGATGCTGCACGCTCCACACGCGTAACTGGTTGTCTGATGCGCCCGTTAACAACCTATCTCCTTTCGAGTTGATCGCCAATGACCATACCTCATTCCTGTGGCCTACACATGTCTGCACGCAGTGTTGCGTTTCCAAATCCCACACTTTTACGAGCGTGTCCTTGGAGCTAGAAGCTAGCATTTTAGGAGTCAAGAAAGCCAAAGCTGTCACTGCATCCTTGTGTCCCTTGAGTCGAAAACGTCCTGTCTGACTTACTAAGTCCCATACAATCACGTCCGTATCACGTGAACCAGACGCCAGCTCAGCACCATCGGTACGGTACGTTAGTGCCTCAACGGCACCCTTATGACCATCCAGTGTCACAACCAATGCGCCATTGGCCAATTTAAATACGCGTATGACACCAGTTGAATACCCGCATGCTACTTCATTCCCATCAGGGCTCAGCACTAACGCTGTTACTTGACCGCCACCGCTCTCAGGTGCCAGTAAATCGCGTACTTTATTGCCTTGACGAATATTCCACACAGCCACATCCTGTAGCGCTGGGGAAATGGCAAAACGACCACTACTATCATAAATCACATTACCTTCGATGGAAACAATCACACCAAAGGAACACGAGCGCTCATAGCGCAGGTATGACTTGACCATGATACAAAGTTGACTGCTTGGCGTGTATCAAGTTTTTTGGTTGGTGAGGAGCAATGTACTGAGATAAGAATTGCAATCGAATCATTTTAAGTATGTACGTAACACTAATACAGGGATTCTAAGGAAAACAACTTGATAATAAAATCATATTGCGCAAACACCTTCTTCTCTATTGATGGAACAGCTGTTTCCTAGGAACTGCATACGACATGGCGTACAATATAGTGACAGCATGTTCTTTTTATGTTGTACTATTCAATCAGCGTAGCGTTGGACCAACCTGATTGGTGCAACACGGTAGATAGCACTGGTCGGCCGCCTTTGAGAAGGTATCATCTAGTCTCTTTGACTGTGTCACCATTGATTGCATTAACCTTGATGTCAAACATTCGAAGCAAACTTCAATGGCAAAACGTAATCCCACGGGAGTTTTTAGATGGTCAAGATCATGGCAGGAGCAGTGTGCCTATCTCACAAATGTCGCGATGTGTTCCTTCTACGATGTTGACTTCTCAGTTTGGAGATACGGTTGCACTTATACGAGAGGTGACACTCATACAATGTTTGGAACGAATCTATTAAATCCTATCATTCCATAATTTGCTTCATCAAGTGCAGAGGCTCAAGAATGACCAGTAGTATTTTGTTGACTTCTCTGCTTTGTCTCGCGTCACTCATTCAGGCAAAGCAAATCACCGACAGCGACCCTCTTTTAAATGCTGACTTTCATACCAATTTAACCGCAAAACATTTGGGAACAAACTACATGCATTTAATGTCTGAGCAAGAAGACATTTCTGAAGCCAGAGGAGGTGAAGCGATTGGTAACGCCTTTGCCCCTGTTGCAGAGAAGCTAAACAACGTACTGCCTGAAGAAAAGGAACTCATAAATTACATTAAGGAAAAAGACTCTATTGTTGAAATGGCTCAAGTAGCATTAAAGGAAGCAACATCACAAGTACCGGTGGAGTCGAGTGAAATAATCAAAATTACCGTAGCGCATATGATGGATACCGCATCCAAGCTCTTCGAAAAACTTCCGTTGAGTAAAAAGAAGAGAGAAGAGTCGGATCTGGTCGAGTTTATCGGCAGTAAAACATTTCACATGTGGGCAAATGCGGTGATTGCTATCACCTCTGACAAGATAGAGCTGGCCGAGCACGCAATTATCATCTTTTTGACGGAAGAGTATGGATATACAAAACTGCGTAACGCACTGGAAAATGCAGAAGTTATAAAGAAGGATCCCGATCTCGCCAGGTTTTTGGACCGCGCACAGCTACAACAATGGGCTGAAATTCCACTTGATTTGAAGAAAGTCTTTAAGTTGCTTAAACTTGGTGAAGAAGGGGACAAAATCTTGGAACGCCCATCACGACAAAAGTGGGTAGAGTTTATTGGCTTCCGTAAGCAAAATGAGAACCCGTACGAACTGCTGATTAAGATACTAAAGGAGCAACATGGGAACCAGGCGACCCTCAGTGCCGATCAGATGCTAGCTAACATTTTAAGGAGTGCCGTGGAAAATGAAAAGGTCTCTCTTGAAACGTACGGCCAGTTTGAAGATGCGCTGCTCAAGACCTGGACTGACGAAGAAAAGCCAAGCGACGACGTATACTCGTTGATGCAAATTGAAAATGCCAACTTGCCTTTGGAAAGCCCTTTCCTTACCACGTGGATTCAATACGTGCGGATGCAGGATCCGCAGCTGGATATAGCACAATTGCTCTACTTCAAACTGAAAGATCTCTATCCGAGGTTTGATGATTGGAAACGAGCGGTGACAAGGCGGTGGAAGGAAATTACATATCCGATAGATTGGGTAATAGGTTGTTGACTATTGCAGAAAAACTCAGTTGAAAGACAGCTACTGTCTGTACCCGGTCGCAATACGAAAAAGCGCACAGCTGAAGCGTGAACTAAAACAATGTAGAGAGTAGGCGATAGAAACATCTTATTCAACTGTAGCGAGTGGGTGGGAAAATAGAGCAAAAGACTACGAATGCAGGATAGAACTAACACGGTTTCAAGTGACAGAAATATGCTGGGTGATAGTTTTTCGTTAACCCGTTTATTCCGCTATTGGTTCAGGTCGAAGAAATGAAGCGAGTATGCGGTCAAGATAAGTTGGTTTTGCTACCACCGATATGGATCGGACTCGCTCCGTAACTTCTCTACCGAGACGATCTTTGATGCGAAAGCACATCTACCGAATCATTATGCCAGTGCAAACGCTTACTTTTGAGGGTGTTCGTAGATGTTAGCTAACGTTTGAGCAAAAACTATAATTCGTCGCTTATGTGGTTCCACTGAACGATACTCGTGATTTCTGCACAGTTGTAGTATACATGATGACCACAACATTTATAAGAGCTGCAACAGTATTAGAATGCAAATACTCCAAGCATCAGTGGGCATTTTATATGTATCGATAAATGAGAAACGCTTACTACGGCACGTTAACTATAACGTGGTTGCTTTCGAAGTCGATAGCTGGGCCTGCCTTCCCTTGATTTGCACCACCTTAGATGCTGTCTCAGCTAGTTTTTTCATGGCCGAGTACTGGGATGCAGACACCTCATGAGAGGTAGTGTCAAAACAACACACCGAACCCACCACTTGGTCGTTCTTGTCCTTAAGCGGAAAACCAAGATAGAATCGCAAGTTAAACGCGTGAAGTGGAGGCAGGTTCTGAAACCGAATGTCAGCTTCTGGGTGCGGGACTAGCAAAGGCTCATCGTTCATGATCGTATGTTGGCAGAAAGATTCATCTCGCGGCATGTGCAGCTGTCGGAACAGTGGCGCATTGGATGCTAACACGTGCTGCTCGTCTTCACTAATCAACGTCACCAGGCCTATTGAACAATTCATTTCGCGCACCACCAGCTCACAGATACAATCTAGCTCATCCGTATCCGTAATCTTGGAAAACCCCCCCCTCATCAATTGCAGTGATACGTGCCTGCTCATTCTTGGGCATTGGAGGCTTGCTCAAAGTTTCAGCGTTAGGTGCCACATTGAGCGGATAATTGCGACCACCCAAATTTGCAAGTACACACTCGTCCACCGAAAGTGCCTCGACGCGCAGCATTCCATTTTCCAGCGCGTCGGCGTATGAGTTGACGTCATCGTCTGTTAGGCGCAAAGATGATGACATCGACGAACGATTTTCTGCCTCTTCCTTCTCCTGATTTATTAGGTGGCGAATGACAGACATAATGGACTTCCGCTTGCTGCCAGAGGAATTCTGAAGAGCATCGTGCAGAAAGTTGGTCAAGGCCTTTCCAGAAGGGTCAACTGACGGAAGTTTTAGTGAATCAGGGAGAATCTCAACCCGTCCACGGATCCTCTGATCCACACAAGAGTAATCTCCATTATTCACAAACTCGACACAGCGTGTGCAAGCGCGCACAGAAGAAACGCGACCATCACGGGCTTCCATTGACTGGATGCTCCAACACTGGTGACAAATCATGTATCCGCACACATGACAGCGCTTTTTGCGTGAAAGAAAGCGCAACGACTTTGCACAACAAGTGCAACGAGAGTTCTTCGCTTCAAACGTAGAGCAGTCAGCGAGCGATTGGATGCCGAAGCGGCGGCGGCGGACAACATCGGGAAGCTGGCTCGCACCCACGGCAAGGCGCATTAAGCGCTTTTGGCGCTTCTTCGAGCAAACAAGCTTGTTCCCACGGTTTCCGGTACTGCCACAGCTGTAGCTCATGACTGGTGCAGACTGGTCAAATTGGGGCCGTTCGTTAAGATCAGCTTGAGCAAAAAACACAACGCGCACTGAGTTGCTTGATGGAATCTTCTCAATAAGATATGCTGCCGTCAAGTCCGGCAACTGGTCAACACAATCAGCCTTCATCTTGCCAGCTAACAAATCCTTTTCGGGCACCGAAGCAAGAGTCACTGTGAAGGCGTCAGCAGTGCTCATCTTCTCATAATACTCGAGGAAGCACCACTGCTCGTGGTTCTTGAACATGCGCGAGCGCTCAAAGGCACTCGTCTTAACAGTCAGCTTCGATTCCATCTCCGATTTCATAGTAGAGGGTGAACCCGGTGATGGATCCACTACGTGAACGACTGCACCGTGGATGTAATCCTTGTACACGCTTCGCATCACCATGTCGTGATCCGTATCGGTGGTAGTGCAGAGGATGTGCGACAGCTCGTTCAGGCTTGCTTTCATTTCTCCCATAGCTAGGACCCCCTGCACCGACTCAAGTCCGTCCCCATGAGAAAATGTCGTAAACTCGTTGGCAACAGTCTTCCACTTCCAGTTGCTTAAAGATGCCTGGCGGTTCGTGAGGCGGCGAAAATCCACCTTATCTGTTGCTTCACGAGCTAGTTGCAGAAGTTGTGTGTTTCCAAGACGCACACGCGACTGGTTTGACTGTAGGTCTTGCCCAGCCTCGGAGTCGTCATAGGACATATTCTTGGTTGTTCGATCCCATGAATCGTGCCGTAAACGCTCAATTGTGAGGCGCTTGATGCCGCTTTTAAGGCTTGACACGGATGTGTACGACCGTTCCGAGAGTGAGCCGACCATGGTAAATTGAAGAATGGAACGTTTGTATCGTTGGTCCATCAATATGTGTGTGGCACGGAAACGACAATGATTCTCTCTAATAACGGTACCAGCCGGGACAAGAAACCGTTTGGGATGAGTAATGGAGAGAGCTAAACGCAATGCTGACAATAATAGCACATGGCAAAGCCGAGACGATCAAATCAATGATTGCCAGAGTTGGTGGTGGATGACAGACGCTGGGACTGCTTTTGACAGTTTGGCAATCTTGTGTAATGTGTGACCTGCATGTAAAGTGCTGCGTTGACACAAGGATGGTTCGAAGCAGAACTTCAAGTCGATTTCTACGCATCTAGAGAGCGCCACAACTTTCTATACGCCGGAAACGTGGTCCATCATGACGGACTAGCACCTGCTTATCATTCTTTGCAGTAGACCGTTAAAGGAAGTACGATCTTATCCCAAGACGTAAACCCAATTCGATGGGGTTAATTACCTCGAAGCGGACATGCCAAACGATAGATAGTACGTAATGTATGACCCTTCCTCGTCCGTATGCACGAATCTAAGAGGTAAAGAGGACGTAGTGTAACTAAAATAGTCTTACCTCCGACCTCCGTTCTTGTCGACTATTGTTATCAGCAGCAGTCGCTCGATGCTGTATGGTGTGTATGGGACCTAGCAGTTGTAACTGAAAAGCGTTGGCTATTTACTTACTGCCCTTTCAGCGCTGAGCTTTGTATTAATATTAACCGCAGTGGACGCTAAGCTTGTTTCGAAACCAAAGCGAAAGATTAAGCAAGTAGAAGCTGCTGCAATTGAAGGTGTTTTGCAGGTATCTCTATGTTCATGTGACTATTTTTTTCATGCACTTCTGACGTGTTGCTTAAGAAGCAACGACTCTACATTTGTTTGTCGCAACCGTTGCTTACTCTAGCTCACCGAGGCTTTTCCACTTTTGCTTGTTGAATCAACAGGGCGATGAGTGCAAAAGAATGACTGGTTAACCATAGGCTCTTCCTCTACACGCATTTGTTACGTTGAAGCATCAAGGTGTTAAAGACCGATACAGTACATGTTATGAATAGAAAAGCATATTTGCATCGTAATTAGGAATACTAGTAGCGCATTTGGAAAGTCTGCACTTTATATAGAGAAGACAACAAATCTCAAGCTCGAGCTGTAGTGGCTACGCGACGCAAAGCCGACATCAACCAAGCGTAACGTTGCATGCAAGCAATAACAACATTCGACTTGACATTGAATGTGCGTTCATGCAATTTTACGCTTGCTAGTGCGGAGCTGATCTACATCTTTCTTGAATCATTTGACTTTTTCTAGTCAACTGCGACATTGGTTTAGCCTTTGTATGAAATTGTGATGAGAAACATTAGAAAGCGGCAGAGCGCACGACGTAGTGTGGAATCTGTTGCGATCGTAGCTTGACTATTCGCTTGATTAAATTAAATAGAAGGAAAAGTGTCGTAGCCTGCTGCTGTGGCCTTGTCCTGCCCTGCGAAAGCTCCATCTGCTGCAGTTTTCTATTTACTGATAAGCTAGTGTGTGTTGATGATGTCTTGCAAGCTAGACGCAGACGACTACGCTATCTCGAGATGATGTCATACCTGAAGCCAATCCTCGATCGTCGCATCGCCAATCTTGACGACGGTCAGTCCTGTTGATTAAGCATCGGTTGTGTGGAGGATCTGCATGTGCTTGAAAATAAAGCAGGATCACTCCAAGACATATGATGCTTACGTTATATTCCAGGCGTGAGCAGGGCATCGCGTTGGCTGCAGCATAGTCTATGCGAAGACGTCCAGACAATAATAGACTTTAACATAGCCCACATGAAACTTGGCATTGGAGTGCTGACCATTAGTCAACTGACGCTCTTGCGTGTACATGGCATGAAGGCAACTGAGACGTCACTCCTTCGCTTCGTCTACCTCGGTGCGTTTTTCGGCTATGTTTGTTTGTGCGTCTTGTAAGGGCCAGACCGCTTGTGCTGTTTCGTTTCGCTATGAATGCTTGCATTTGCTACTTTCATTCGCCCACAATCCATAGTCTGAATCAACGATGATACTGCGTTTGCTTACTAGCTAATAGCTATCCTCTGTTTCCCAGCTGCCAGCTGAAGCTTGTCCAACCTGACTGCAGCAGTCAATATTTTGTTGGTCGTCCTACGGACTAAAATCAGCAGTTGCGAGTACAGTTATACGTGAATAATTTCGCCAAAAATTCATAAAAAGCGATATTTCGAAATGAATGCGTACAGTTTCTTAAATAATGTTCTCACGTATGGCGTATACCAAGCGACCTTTGGGCAATTAAAATCTCAATTTGTTAATTCTCAAAATTCCAAGAAAAGTCATGTTAAGACGACACCCGACGCGCGTGGAAGAGCAAGCCGATGTAGCAGCCGAGTACGAGGCTTATCTTCAAGAGAAAGAGCACAAGTTGAAGACAAAAAGCAAAACTACACAAAATGCAGCCTCTTCTTTTAGCACAGCAAGCGACTCAATGCGTGCGAGACAGGAAGCTAGGCGACAGGAAGTTCGTTCTCGTATTGGACTAGACAATATTAATTAAAAAGGCAGTCAGGATGTGGAAAAACGAGTCGTAGTATGCTAAAATAATAACGTTAGTAAGAGACTAATCAAGGACCCATTAATGTAAAGGACGTGAAGACATTGGGCAATGTGAACGGAAGAGAAGGAGCATCGAGGATAAGGACCATGTCGTATTGTAATGCAACTGCCAAATTTTTTCATCATTTTGTGTCCAAACCTGTCATTTGTCATTTTTCTTGTAAAATTTCTCATTTGGAATACAAACTTCTCAACAAAATTGACCAAACACAAAGTGTCCGTCAGTCACACGTCACGAAACTTGGTCTTCTTCTCTGGTCGTACGTACATACTACTACTACTGCTACTGCTACTACTAGTATATTATGGTATGGGAAGGCCCATTGTCCCTCCTACCAACGGCACATCGTCGCACACGTAATGCTAGTACTGGTAGTTGTCTTGAGACACATATGGAGACACCAGTCCAATCACCTCGTACACGTAAATATCAAGAGCGAGAGAAAAAACTGACATCTCTTCTACATGTCCGACCGCTTTTGAGTCGTGAACGTACATTACGTCGTCTTCCCATGGTTCTAGGCATTCTCTTCGTCATTGGTTTTGTACTTGGATATTACGCGCAATTACTATTCTTCTTTTGTCATGTTCGAATGGGGTTTACAGCTGAAATACTAGCAACGTCGGAAGTAACGCTACGATCAAAAGCTTTCATAACGTCACTTGTTGAGCAAACACAACGTGTTGTGTTTGTATGTAAAAACACGAATTGGGACTTTATTGGATTGATTGCAAGTCCACATACGATCTTATTTGCACATACGGACGTGAGTATACCGTTGCCATTGGAAGAAAGTTTACGAATTGTACGTCATGCGGGTGTTGATAGTCATCTGAATTTACACAATAAGACAGTGACAATTATGAGTCATGTCTACAAAGCGGACCCACGGAATCATTTGCTGAAACAAGATGATGAAGCTGTTATTTACTGGCCACACTATTATCAGTGTTTAAGAAAGTGCCATACTCTCGAGTCGTGTTATGCTGGAGACATGCATGTTAATATTGGTGACGCCATGAACATTAATTCGTACGTGTTTGCAACTGGTGGTTCGTATTTCGTAGGTAGTGCGCTATTAAAGTGTATGTTGGAAAAACCGATTTTTGTCGAGCTGGATGGACTTGACTATGGTGAAGATAAAACAGTAGGAAAGATGATCCATTACAACAACTGTAACGTGCAGTACGTGAGTTGCAAATGGTTCAACAATGAGGAAGTGTACTCATCCAACGCACATATTAAGATGAAGAAGGGTGCATCGGCGGAAATTCGGGAAAACACGGTCTTACTAGGCAAAAACGAACAACTTTGACAGACAGAACGTGACGACATGATTTGTCGTCTTCAGGAGAATGAAGAGCAGGTCGAACAGGATGGCGTATGAAACACATACAAATTTATAACGTCTTCAGGATGAGCAGAAAGTATGGAGCAAAACAGCGAGTATCTTTTTTGGTTGGACAAGTATTCAAGTTTAAGACGGTCGACAACACTGGAAAAGTTTTTGCAAACTGGACAAGGTGATTCATCTCTACTCTTGTTTCTTTTTTTACTTTCTGATGCGCCCCACAGGAGCTAAAACTGGACTGACTGCGTTTTCTAGGAGTTCATGCATCGATCCGATGGATTCATTTTGACTGAGTAAGACTTGGCATACCGTGAGTGACCGCGCCATATCAAAGCCGTCACAGCGCGTTCGTTTGCGTAAGCGCCCTGACGAAAATTGGTTGTTAGGCAGCTCATACCATTTTAAAGAATGAAAATCGTGCAGTCAGTGTACAGATCTCCTTTCGCGTAGGATACATTGGTTACTTTTTGAGTTGACGAGGGACACATGTTATATCGCTGATTGGGAAGGTTGATCAGCGCTATCTCGTTAACGCGTACGCAAGTCTGTTCTACGTTGCATTCATCAAGACTTTGATGGCGGACAATGCAATTCAGAAAGCCATGGCTGCATGAATGAGCTTATGATGAGTTTTTTGGTATCATCATTATCTTGCGTCTTGCGTCTGGCAACCTCGTTGAGGTGGGGCTGCCCTGGATCATGAGAAAGGCTTAAGTTTTGAGGAAGGATTTCTTATGATCCAGGGCAGTCCATCTCAAGTCTAAGGTGAAGGAATGTATTGTGCGGAAACTCTCATTGCAAAAAACTGGAGCTCGACGTATACTACAAAGGGAACGCTCGATGAGTAACTACAACGAGATAAACACGCAATTCTGTTACGTGATGCTTTTCGTGGTAGCGTTTCCATTAGCTCTTGCTTGGGCTAACAACTGTTGAGCTCGCATTTACGTTCATAAGTTGTGATCCAATTCGGTGATCCAGATCCTCGTGGTGCCTATACTCTTGAAGTGTACCCTTTGGACGATGATGTGGCGCTTGAAAAGCAAAGAGTCAAGGTCTTTATTGACCTGTCGTGAACGTCGTCGCAGATGATAACGATAAAGAAATGGCTAAGAGCGCTCACCGATTTCGATGAAAACGTCTTAGCTTATATGAAGTTCTATCTCTGGCAATTTATATCAGCACGGCTCCTTTGTCAATTGTTCACAACAGTTTATACAATCTGCATCTACTTCTATCGTACTAACGATATTCTTCTTGATCAGTAAAGCCAAGGTGACAGCGAACCAATAAGTACATCAGAACCTTCAACGTCAGCTCCAGAACCTTCCGAGTTACCTTCTGACTTACCTTCAGCGTCATTGAGCAGCTGCCTCAGGCCTTCATGCCTTTGCAACTGCATCGCATCTTCACGTGCAACAAGAACAACGGGTATTGTCACTTTCTTGCCAAGACCGCGACCGTCATCACTCAGTGAAAATGTTCGGGCAAGATATCTGCTGCAAGAGGCCTCAGAGTTGATGACTACAACACCAGCAGCCCCTGCATTTTGCAACCTCAATGCCTTCTGCGCAAAAGTGCACGTGCCGCGTGCCACCATCACGATCTTACCACGCACACGCTGGGAGTCTATGAAGTCACAGGCATCGCTAATATCTGGTGCAAAGAGCAGCATTGGTGCCTCTATTGCTGCTGCGCCCGTGACTCGTAACCCAAAATTGGCAGGAGATGCCACCAGTGTCATCAAATGCGTGTCGCCGAGCCGCAGAGCTAACCCCACAGGGGTAACTGGAGGCGTTGCTAGGACTCCTCTTGCTACAGCAAGCTCCTCATTACGTTTGTACCCCTGAAGTTTGCCATCTTGGCACTTTGGTGAGGCAGACACTGTATTCTGCTTCTTCGTGCGCCCAAAAAGGCGCGAATTCAGCATTAAAACATGACCTTCGGTGCTGAAGACTACGTCTGACGATTTGAGAGACTTTCTGTTCCTTTTACTGTAGGATGGCTCGCCAAAAGCAGCGCTCACATTTTGAGTTTGATTTTTACAACCGCCTGAAGAACGACGCGCATGATTTTTGTCTGTCATCTCCACTGTGCAGTTTCCGTTCATCGATGGTGTCCTGTTTTTCCAATGTCGTGCTGGTGTTACTGGTACAATCACATTCGGATCATCACTGAAAAGCAAGTATAAATACTTGACAGTCTCAGAGAGGAAATAGCTGTCCATACGATCCTCAACATGAAGTGTGTAGATATCTCCCAAAGCCGCGTACCCACATTGAACTTCGGACACACGACGGATGTCTTGCAGTATTTGCCGACCCATTTTCAGGTACTTGTGGTCTTGAGTGGCTTGATACAGATGATAGGTACTCTCAATCAACTCTGGACGAAGTGGAGACGTTCGTGCCCAGCTGACCACAGTTCCTCGTTTGCCAAGTTTCGCTATGCCAGGTGGAGCCAGATCAAACAGCTCAGGCATGGCTCCAAACTCGTCCCAAAGATGAAACATGTGCTCATAAGTGCGAATGGCACCCGATACATCACCAGCAAGCACCTGTAGACCGGGCCAAAATGCCTGCAGCGCAGACACACGACGAAATCGGACTTTGTTCTTACCTCCATTCATATCTACCTCAATGTACACATCGTCATGATTTACATGCGTTTCAATAGCTTGGTAGCTGTCATTAAACATCGTCATCCACTGCGAATCTCCACTGATAAGGTGGTACTTTAGCAAGTATTCGTAAAAAGAGTCTAGCCCCGCACCGACTCCCCCGTGCGACTGCATCCACTTACCGGACCCGACATCAATGGCACTTCCCAGCAAATCCAAATGCGATCGACGTTCCCATATCGCCACGACTGCAAGTTTTGCTCTTGTTTCAAACCTTTCATCCCCTGTAAGTCTTGATAAATACGCCATCTCGACCAATAGTGACCCTGCTGCCGCAGGACACGTCAACTGCGCCGCCTGATCTTTTGACAATACTCCCCGGCGCAAATTTACCCGGTGCACGGGCAGTCCTGTCTGTGTATTGAATGCCGGCAACAACCGACGTCCAAGATCTTCCGCCAGGTCCAATAACTCACCATGATACTCATCTTCATCCATCATTCCAAAATACTCGGGAGATGCCAACATGTGCGCCGATACTAAACCACCAAGGACCCGAATAGTAGACTCAAACACCGACACAGTCACATCTCGATCAAACGTCACGTTACTGGATACAAGCTTTACTGCCCGTGCAAATTCGTCACGGTCTCCGAGCACCGCCAACATATCCAAAGAGTCTATAAGCGTTAGTGAAAACCCACCTAGAACATCATCTAAATCACCACGTTCACGACGGTCCCATCGGCGTCCAGAGCAGCTCAGAGGTTTAAGTTCATCCCATGGATACGCGTGCTCCATATAGTTACGATACCCATGGTAGAACATATCACGTGCTTGCTGCTGAAGTTGACGGCGTTCCGAGACGTGCATATGGGCAAAGCAAAAGCTTCTTAGAAATGTAGTGGATATGACGATGAAGAGAAGACGCAGATACATTATATGCACTTGATAATACGTCCTGGATATTGCTAGGGACGGAGAAATAAAGAGTGTAGAGAGAGAGAGATGAGAGAGAAGAGAACAAGGACAAGTTACATGCAAAACCGACTTCCAATACAGAATTAGACAAATAGATACAGGTTAATGTGTACCACATTATATATGGCCTAACACTTTGTAGAGACGTTATGTAAAGACGGTCAAGTTAATTGTTCATGTTTAAGCTTAATAATATAGTCAAAGGATACAATCAATAAACACATCAAGAGAGTGAGTCAATCTACTACTAATACTTGACATTTGAATGTGATATCAAAGCAGTCTATCATACTGATGATAGCAGTTGGTCATATTTGTCTGTCTGTCTCCGTTCCACTTTTTAGATGCATGATTGTGTTTGCTTGTGGCCTCAATCAAATCTTTTCACACATAAAATAGTTTCTTTGTATGTTCCAGAGTTTATTGTGACTCTTCATACCATGTCTAGAGACAACAAATAGCATTTCTCAACACTTTACATACTCTCTCTCCTCTATCTGATGATCTTCTAGCAATGCAATGCGTATGATTCATCACGCATCGACGTATCCTACAGTAGCTCCCCACTAAACAGTATCACTAAGATTACGTCACCATATGGAAGGACGAAGACAAACAAGCAAGCATGAAGCAAAGACAAATCTAACTCTCAAGAAACAGCGTATTGACAACAAACGAAAGTAACTTGAATACAACTTCCTACTGAGTGTTTTCTTCTCTTTTAAGGACGTTTCATTGAGACGGATGATGAGCTTCAATCAGACCAACGTACATAGCAGCACCAATAATGCCACCGACAAACGGACCAACAATAGGGATCCAGAAGTAACCATTACGAAGAGTCCACACCTTCCAGCCCCAACCAGCAAAGAACGTAAACAAACGAGGGCCAAAATCACGGGCTGGGTTTAAAGCGTAACCAGTATCAAGACCAAATGCCATACCAATGCACGTAAGCATTAATGCAACTGCACCAGGGAAACTGTAAGGGCTTGCAGGTTTGTTAAGCTGGTCACTGACAGCAAAGATACCACTAACAAGCAAAGCAGTGCCGATGATCTCATTAGTTAGAGCCGACCAATTGGGTATTTGTGCGTTGGGGTAGGTGGCAAAGATACCTTGAGTGATCTCACGTTGTGGGTCATGAATATCAAACCATGGGTAGTACACAATAAAGACAATGAAGGCGGCCACAAATGCACCAGCAGTCTGGGAAGCAAAGTAACCGGGTACTTTGTGCCACTCAAAACGCTTGAACAAGGCTAGCGTGAAAGTAACCGCGGGGTTTAAGTGACCACCGCTAACACCACCTGAGAAATGAATGCCGAATAACAGCGCAATACCCCAACATAGATTGACCGATAGATAGTGACCGGCACCTCCACCGCCAAGCACATATTGTGCAACAGAGCCATCACCGATGAGCACCAGAATAAAGGTACCAACAAATTCGGCAAGACAAGCTCGAAAATTTGGATTCCGAACGTGGTAGAATGGAAGACGAGCGTTGCTCTCTACGTCAGTGTATCCATGCTTACTGGTACCGTACTCAGTCATACTTAATTGTAGAGATGAGGAAAAAATATCGTTCAGACGTGTCCGATGGAACGAAAATGAAGCAATGAGTGAACTTGCTCATTTTGCGCGTGTCTTGAATCAATTGATTTGAAATGTAGAACTTTAAAAGTATCGAGTGGGTTGAAAGATCCATTCAAAAAGTACGAAGGAACATGACTCAACAGGTGCCTTGTATGAAGATCAGCTTTGTTTTCATTGTCATCAATACCACGATTGCACGTATAGCCGGAAAAGAGGCACATGCTCAGTTTTTTACATAATGGTTTAAACAGCAAATAGAAATCATAATACTAATACAAGATTCATCAGTGTATAATAATAATTATCGGGTAGAGCTCTGATCTTGTTCAACGAATTGCTGTCGTTTTCCATTGCGACGAGTATCCATGCTGGTGTACGTGGACTGGACTGGCAGCCATCATTGAAACACGAGAGACGATCCGTGTTAGCAAGGGCGAACCGATCAACTCGGACCCAACCTTAACACTGCAGATACAATTGTGACGAGATATAGTAGATTGATACGACAAGGGGTTTTGCTTGTCAAGTGATCCTCTCTATACCTTATGAAGAAAGATAGAGTTGTTGCTGCTTCAACAACTGCAGTTGTTGTGGTATTTGTTTACAAAGATAAGAAACCTATTGCTACGCTTCAATACCTTCTTCACTTCTCTTCCCGCTTGAACATTCTAGGCTAATGACCCAGAGACGATGCGAGAGCAGTCGAGGTAGATCCAGTGCCTTGCCACGTCTGCCAAAGTTTATTTGGTTTTGGTAGCCATTATCTCGCCCATCACCAACAGTTACAAAAGAGAAGGTTTGAATAAAACAAGCAGCTCATCTGGCTTAGAAAGATCGCCAGCTGATGGATAGGATCCAAGAAGCGTGTTATCAGGTCCAGATCGGTTAGCATCCATCCGCAGCATATCGCTATGACCATTTTCATCCTGTCTGATGTGCTGTTAGAGACTGCTAATCTGGATCTTGTCGAGGTTCGGACAAGATCCTGATACGTCGTCACCTTTGGTTTGCCTGAAGTCATTTGCAGTCTTTTGTGGTCGTATCCTTTTTGGCGGCTTGAATACAATAACTTGCCAGAAGAATTACCGGTCAACAGCAGCTGCGACCGAAATGATATTCTTTAAGCATTGCAGTCATCATGTGGTGCGCTTATAGTAGCTGCTAGCACACACAAGCAGGTAACTCTTATCGCACAATCTTTCACCTTCAACAATCTCTTTTCGAGCTAACGCAAATCGAATCACTCAACTCTTTACTTCATTCTCAAACTCTCCTTTTCTTGTGCGCGTTTCCAATTCAAACTGTCTGAATACGGATCACTCACGCCTGAATATGCTGACCAGACGTGTAACCCGCGCCTTCCCTTCTTTTATGCTGTTGGAAATTCCAATGTCCGTGCCTACCTCGCGGAATTTTTCGGTACCTTTATTCTGGTGTTAATCGGAGATGGCGCCGTTGCTCAATATGTTCTTGGCAGTGGTAATGCAGGCCACTACTTGACAGTAAACCTGGCCTGGGGCATTGCACTTTTATTTGGCATCCATTTTTCCGGTGGCATCAGTGGTGGTCACCTTAACCCAGCCGTGACGCTAACTTTGGCAGCGTTTGGACGCTTTGAATGGTACAGGCTTCCTGGCTACTTTGTTGCCCAGACATTAGATGCCTTCGCTGCCGCATGGGTCGTCTTTATCGTATGTTACCCTTTTGGTTTGATGTTCAAGACCCAGCACGTACAACTAACTACCCAGGGCATCTTTGCCCCTTACCCCAACGACCAAATACCCAACTGGTGTGGTCTTGCTAACGAAATCGTGGGTACAGCACTGCTTGTCAGCGGTATCTTTGCTGTTAGTGACCGTCTGAACAAACCCGCTAGCTCCAACACGTTTCCAGCTGCTGTAGCTCTGATGCTCACCTGTGTGGGCATGGCATTCGGTCTCGTCACTGGCTACGCTCTGAATCCGGCCCGTGATTTTGGTCCTCGTCTCTTTACGTTCTTTGCTGGCTGGGGCTCCAAGGTTTTCACGGCTCGTAGTTTCTACTTTTGGATTCCAATTGTTGGTCCGTTTATTGGTGGACTGCTTGGAGCTGGTCTGTACGTAGGTCTCATTGAAAATTTCCATCCACACGAATAAACGCGTGGGTTGGACATTAAACAGCGTCTGTTAGCAGCGATGATGACGTTCAATGTCCTTGTGATATACATGTCTATAGTGTTGTTTAACTTTGTGGAGAATTGAGTTTTGTTGATCTCACGGACTAGTAGTTAAGTAGTACGAGTAGTGCAAATACCCCTAGTAGTAGTAATAGAGCAATTAATACCTTTACAATTAGCATCACACAAGAATAGTAGTTAGCTGAAAAGTAGTAGTAGTGCATGTAAACTAGCTCAATCTTCTCTTAGTTTTAGTATGTGTCAATATCATCTTCCTACTATTTGACTAGTACTCAATCATTTTCTAAAAATATCTTTCTCCATTACGACAATGTTGCGCTGTACACTGTTCTGCTCTGCGCTTTTGCTGGCCCGTAGTGTCTCCAACGCCATTTTGTTGCGTGTGCCAATGATAAAGCGCAGTGACGATGAGTTTGTGTTATCCCTGCTGGCAAGCGTGCATACGCTACAGCGGCCGGTCGTCTGGAGTCCCACCGCCGACGTGGCAGAGCAAGCTGCGGTCATTAAAGATGCTGCGAATGTTATTATCCGTGACTTTCAGAATGCACAATACTATGGATCAATCTCTCTTGGCTCACCTCCTCAACCTTTCTCTGTTATTTTTGACACGGGCTCAAGCAATTTGTGGGTGCCAGACAAGAAATTTGGGTTCCATAATGTGTATGATCATGAAAAGTCTACTACTTACAAGGCTAATGGTACAGAATTTAGCATCATGTACGGAAGTGGACCCGTATCTGGATTCTTGTCTCAGGATACGCTGGAGTTGGGAGACCTTACAGTGACTGACCAGTTTTTTGCAGAAGTGAACGTGACGAAAGGCCTTGGTCCAGCTTATTACCTGGGAAAATTTGATGGTCTCTTTGGTCTAGCCTTTGATTCCATTAGTGTTGACCACCTAAAGACACCATTCCATCGGATGATCCAAATTGGGTTACTCGATGAACCCGTGTTTGCCTTCTACCTCGGAGACCAGAAAAATGGTGAGTTGACGTTTGGAGGGGTAGACAAGTCTCACTACAAGGGAGAATTGGACTATGTTGATGTGACTAGTGCCACCTATTGGTCGATCAAGCTTGATGCAGTCGAAACGAAAGGAAAAAAACTAACAAATGTGGACAAAGTGATCGTGGATTCGGGGACATCTCTTATAGCGGGACCCAAGGACGAAGTGGCCACTCTAGCGGCCCTAGTGGGAGCGCACAAGTTTATCATGGGCGAGTACCTCATCAGCTGCTCAGCTGCAGCGCCCGACATTTCCTTCGTGCTCAACGGCAAGCCGTACACGCTGACCAAAGATGAGTACACGCTAAAGAGCGGCCCCATCTGTCTCTTTGCTTTCATGGGCATCGATCTTCCGGCACCTGCTGGCCCGCTATGGATCTTGGGTGACGTCTTCATGCGCAAGCACTACACTGTCTTCGACTGGGGCACTGACTCGCGCAAGCCGCGTGTCGGCTTTGCGCTTGCGGCGTAAGCGCGTAAAGATAGTGAATTGCCGTTTCGGTACCGTAAACATTAACAGCAAACAATACTAAGACAAGTGGAAGGGATAAGCTAAAACGTTATATACGAATGATATGAAGGCGGCAAGTGTGTGTCGTATACGTGGCTCAAACATGTTGAAATGCTCAAAAGTGGCGCTGCTGAACCCTCGTGTAAGCATTATTCTGAAAAATATACAGGCAAATCTTTTGATAGGCAAGTCTTTTGGTACAAGCAGGATGAATCACACGAACACATCACTACCAGAAACATTCCCTCATTGCCGTCTTCAACACACTAGGCACTGTGGAAGTGCGCACGAATGGAAAATGCATGCAAATTACGATACTTTCTGTATGCACACTCCTTCAGTCTTGCTTGAACGATAACACATACGAATGTCCTCAGAAGACAGACCTACGTGATCACGCTGGCACAAATGACTCGGTGGAGTAGCTACCGATACAAACACAATCTTGGTGTTGCTAACCAACTCATCGTCTGTCGTGAATTTATATGGTAGATCCTTTTCTGATGCTCAACCTTGTCCTATTTGGTCAAGAAACTGGCCTTTATATCCAGCATGATGGCGATGTTCTTGTGCGGACGCGTGGCCAATGCCATGGTCTCCGTGCGAGACACTTCAGGAAGGATCAATGAGCTTGTCACTCCATCCTACGACCAGCACGACGAACCAAGCGTACAAAAGATGCATCCATAAGCAAGCAATGCATCTGCTGCCCAGGATGATACGTTTATGCGCTGCCCACGTCCCGCCTCGTCGGGGCAAGCACGGTTGAACTGTTCACGGACTTCTGGTGCTCGTCGGGGTGAGCACGGTCAAGCTGTTCACGGACTACGCGGTAGCCGTGGTGCTCGTCAATTTGCTCTGCTTGATAGGAAGCTTTGAAGAATTCTTAGCACCCGTCGTTTTTTGGTCCAGTATTAGCACAAGGATTTCAGCTGCAAGAAAGAAAATCAACGATGCAAGAGGGCCGCCTTGTCATATTCCCGATATCACCGCCTGTGGTTCCGAGGGTTCTCCGTTGACAACAAATTGTGCTGTCGTGCAGTCGTGCTGTCGTGGATATTTCGGTTCATATCATGAAGCCAGAAGAGAACCCAAAGCGCGCAAGAGCTGAAAACTGGCAATCCCGTGCCACTGTGCTGTGCAATTTCCGAGACTCGAGCAGTAGGATCGTCCGTCTCTGTAGTTCTGCCAAACCCTGCTTGCCCTTGGCTGTCGCCAGCATGGCAGCATCATCATCACTGCGTTGAGCACTGTCGTCCATAAACAAAACCTTGCTGCATAGCTCCAATTAGTGTGCCCAAAATGTGTTGCATTCGCGTGGCAATTATTCCTTGCATATTTTGTATCCAGTTTGTAGACGTGCAACATGATGGTAGTCCATCGCGTCGTCAAAGTCGCTCTTTTTTTCGTAGCGGAATAATCAACCCTTCGAGGAACGACTGGGGCGGCTCACTACCCTTGAGGAGCTCATTCCCTAGGGTTACCATCGCGGGAACCTTCACTGCTTGGGTGTCTTTAAACAATCGTTGCTTTAGCCGACTGCGCCTGCCGATTTGTGACGATACAGCGCAGTATTGGACTGGACGACCACGTCAAAATGTGTCTCCTTCATGAGGAGCGTATTGTCCGACGACGAAATGTATTGGTGGCCGTAGATGAACCAGCTTATCGAACTCGTCCGTTTTATTTGCGCCATGGGAGTGATGTAGTGCTGTAGTGCTCAACTTGGTGTCCATTCTGAAGCGAAGCTGTTTGCCATGACATCTCCCGCTTATACCCGGCCCCGTTGAATTGACGGATTGGCTGTAATGGACTTATTAATCTGTCAATCAAAAACTTATCAGAATTTCCACGGAAACTGCTTCGTCTACCCAAGCTGCTCCATAGTACGTTCGAGCTGTTGCCTTAGCCAAACGAGGTGCTCCTATCGATTCTCTTTCCAACACGCTCTTTTCTCGTCATTAAGTGCGCTTTTTTCTATATACAAATCTTGACACTTGTGTTTCTTCACCATTTTGATGTATGCTACACACCGCTCGGCTAAATGGTAATCATCAATGACTGACCGACATTGGTGTTGGGCTTGTCAAATCCCTTCTAAATCGTTACATAATATTACTATATAAACTAATCAACTCTCCATCATCACATTAAGTCAATGCCATGATGTCGCCTCGCCCTGCATCATCCGCAACTGTACTGCTGCACACCAAAAAACCCCAGCTTATCTAAAACCCCTTTATTAGCAAATAACCCATCTATATCGACTTTAACAGGTTCTACTTTTGCCTTTTCGACTTTTTCTCTTTTTTCAAAATGTTGACTACTTTGTGACTACTTTGTGACTACTTAATCATTTCACCAAATGCCTTTTGCCCAAATTGTGCTCGGACCTCCTGGTTCAGGGAAGACAACGTACTGTAATGGGATGCAACAATTTTTACAAGCCAATGGACGAGATGTAGCAATTGTTAATATGGATCCTGCGAATGAACAGTTACCATTTATAGCTGATATTAATATATCAGAAATCATTTGTCTTGAAACTGTCATGGAGGAATTTGACCTTGGTCCCAATGGTGGTACGTTGTTGATAATTAAATTAAATCAATACATTTTGTTAGGTGTTTACAGCAAAATGTATTGTATGGAGCTGCTTCTCTATATTTCAAATAAACTGATTTATGTTATGATGCAGGACTTGTGTATTGTATGGAGTATATTGATATGAATTTTGACTGGCTGGAAACGAAACTAGCACGACTCAAGGACAAGTACGTGCTCTTTGATTTTCCAGGTCAAGTGGAGCTTTATACACATGACAAAAGTGTGCACAACATTGTACACAAACTAGCAAAACTTGGTTATCGTGTAGGTACTATTACTTTGCTCCATATATGATTCTTTGATGAGAAATGATCGATCGATGGATCGATCATTACCAAGTGTAATGATGATCTTTTTTATGACTTACTAATTGTTTTCTCTAGTTGGCAGTTGTCCATCTTGTAGATGCGCATCATTGCACCGACAGTTCCAAGTTTGTTTCAATAGTGATGCTGAGTTTATCGTCAATGGTTCGACTTGAACTACCACATATTAACGTACTCTCAAAGATTGACCTGATACAGCAGTACGGAAAACTTGGTACGTGTCTTGTATCTGCTGCATTAAACACTGCTGGGATATCCATCCTCTATCCATTTATCTATCTTTCTTCTTGTCTGACTGACTTGATTCTTTTGTTTAGCATTCAATTTGGACTTTTACACGGACGTACTGGATCTCCGGTACTTGCTGAATCGTCTCGATGAACCAGATGATGCCGAAGATGAGGACCAAATCTTGCTAGAACCGCGGCATACAAGGATGCTCAACTCGCGACTTGCTGAGCGATTCCGACGTATGAACGAGGCTCTAGTCGACGTTATCGAAGACTTTAGTCTTGTGAGTTTCTTGCCATTGCAGATCCAAGATGCTGCGACACTACAGAAGCTTGTTGCTGCTGTCGATAAGGCCAATGGCTTTGTTTTCACTGGCGTGGATTTCCAAACGGCTGTTGTCAAGGATTACGCCTTCGGTGACCAGAGCGCACCTGAAGTTCAAGAGAAATACATAAATCAATAGCGGACAAGTCGATGCTTGCCATACAAACTTAAAAGATCGATTATATTGGCAACTTTCACTCGTGATTTTGCTCTGCTCTGCTCTTCTTGCGTTGCCCGCCTAGCAGCGTATGTAGACCGTTAATTCGCATAAAAAGCTGTTGGGTTAAGGCATGCGTGCTGCGACTTTTGATGACCATGACTACATCTGTTTATTGCCAATGCATGACTTAACTATTGCTGAAATAGATGTCTGTTTAATCATGACGCTTACTAGTCCACCCTTAGAAGAAAATGCCACCTTCCTCTTCTTCTGCTGTCTCGTCAACGTTACTGAGGTACTGCTCATAGGTGGAAGACGTAGGATGTAGCGAGGGCATCCGTGTCGACGACAACGAGCTCATGGACATTGAGTTGCGCACACCTCCCATGCCACCCGAACTTCTACCAGCAATGCCATGACCTGCCAAAGAATTCGCTGTGTTCAACTGCGGGTTTCCTTCTGATGTAATCACCTTGTCGCCCTCTACTAAATTTTCAAACGGCGACGACTTCGTGCTTCCAAAACTGCCCTCGCTCATATCAACCAAAGTGACCGACGGTCGGTTCGATCCTGCCTCGTTTCGCTGAAATAATGGAAGTCCTCCGCTATGTTAGAAGAAACATCGAGTCAGCCCAGAGTTAACGCGAGAAATATCAATGAAGAATATACATACCTCGTGGTAACATTACGATCAAAAAGTCGCAAGTCGTTCATGGAAAAGTTACGCTTGGCAGCTGTAGATACCTTGGTCATGGCATGCACAATCTCCATGACTTGATCCACATCGTCCACGAAATATTTGGCTGCGCTAGGCTTTTTGCCTACAGTCACCGTAAACATATTCGGCCGGCTGCGTACATCTTCAAGGTACTGGAACATGAACTCATCCGACAAGTCATCGCCTACACACAAAATGAAATCCACATACTGGCCACTGGTCGACTCAATCGTCGACATGACACGATCCACAATCACACCCTTGTCGACACCTTCCGGACGTACTTCAAGATAGTCTGTGCCTGTTACGACCTCCACATGAAAGTGTTCCAACACTTGCAGAAGCTGATCATGTAACTCCTTAGCTTGCAGCTGGCCAAATTCCGGGTCGGCATCACGATACTGCCACAGCAGCGCACTGCCCTTTAGCTCAATGTACGTGCCGTGCGTGCGTTGCGTATAAATATCCATGACGGCGTGCGTCACATCCTTCCACGAGTCGTCAAAGTTGTCTTTCGTGCATAGCCACACGCTTTCCTCTCCTTCACTCCCCATACCGTTCAAGCTACTTCGACCTGACGGTATTATTACATTACTTGTCGTGCTACTATTCATACCTGCTCCCCACTTGTATAGGTAGCCATGCTCAGCAGCAAGCCCCAAACCACGCACTGACCCTAATGTCTTTTCTAGATCCATACGTTCCTTGCCACTCAGCACAAATACTGTGTTACGTGGGTCAGCACACAGCAGGGTCAAGGACGCAAGGAGGTCAGGCGATGCCTTAGGAGTTTCTGATTTTGACACGAAAGCGTTTTGCTCACTGCCCGTGATATACTTGGAAAAGTTGTGCGTACCAGCAGGCTCCTCCAATGTAAGCGTGTTGCCGTAATCAAAAAAAATCACGCGGCGGAATGTTTCCCGATAAGCCTTGGCTACGACGTCAGTTTCAAGCATCTTGAAGCCAGCGTTGAACTCGAGCATTCGAAAGCCCAGCCCAAGGCCGTAACCTATGTATTCACCCTCTGCGGTCTGCTTCTTCGTGCGTTTTAAATCGACGAGAATACGCTCGGCCCATTTAGTACGCGAATTCGTAATAATATATTCCAGATCCTTACGGTGACGCGCAGTCCGCTCCTCGTCCGACATGGATAACGCCAACTCCATCGCCCGAATAATCTCCTCCCGCTTCCACGGGTTCACTCCAATGCTGCCCGTTAACACACGACTGCTGCCGGAGAACTCAGACACAATCACTATGCCAGGCATCTTGGCCAACTCGTGTGCGTAGATAAACTCGAACGGGTAAAGGTTAACGGCGTCACGTACTGAGGTGGTAAGCAATACATGACCGACACGCCAAAGCGGTAGCCTAGATGCCATGTCAGTGTTTTCCACCTCCAAGTATGCAAAAATTGGTTCTTTGCGCAGCAAGCCAAAACGGTCGTTAATACGTTTCGTGTGTGCAAGGATCTCAGCACGAACACTATCCTTCTCTGGGGTCGAATTCGAACTGTCCCAAATACCAATCTGCACGAACTGCACCTTATCGACGTACTGCGGGTGCTGAGCAAGAAAATGCTCAATGGCACTAAGTTTAAGTAAAATGCCCTTCAGTCTCTCCACACGGTCCACGCTTACAAACACCGTACGCTTGCTACTCTCGTATTTTTCCGCAAGTACTACTCCATCCTCTTCGACCTGCTTTTTTGAGTTAATCCGGTCCATAAATGAAGGCTCGATACCAATATGGCTTATGGTCAGCATGACCATGCGGCCATTGTATTCAACTCCAATATAACCGCCAGGCTGTGCACTATACTTGAGCCCCAATATACGACGACAGCTTGTCAGGAAATGACGTGCATGCTCGTACAAGTGGAAACCAATGTGATCTGCAGCTAGCACACCACGTAGCAGGTCAGCTCGCACTGAAAGTGTTCGAAAGATCTCCGAACTTGGAAAAGGCGTATGCAAAAAGATGCCGACATTGACGCAGGGTAGCCGTCGCGTTAAAAAACTTGGTGCAACTAGTAAATGAAGTCCATGGACCCATACCAGATCACCCTCGTTGTACACCTCAATAACCTTGTTCACGAAAATACGGTTGACTGTTTTGTAGCTGGCCCATGCGTTGCGCTGCTGGCCAGGATTCCACCAGCGAGTAGGTAATGCACCGTATATATCCACAATATTGTGAAACACAGGCCAAAGCGTGCCATAACAAAAGTTGTGGAACGTTAATCGCAGCGGTTCGGCCAGAAAGACGGGGATACAATGAAAGTCCTCAAGCTGTTTTGCCAGCCGTTCTTCGTCTTCTTTTGGAATCGGATCTGCGCAATGGACCGTTCCGACCCATGTGAGTCTCATCGAGCTAACACGGTCCCAGTTTGCCTCACAATACGAGTCTATAAGTAGTCCAGAGGGACAAATAAGGTTATCATCTTCCCATTCAATGTGGTACCGACCTTCTGGGGTTCTATGCACAAGAACTGGCAGTCTATGAACGGCGATAATAACTCCATCTGTAGCCTCCATCGCTACGTTCACACTTGTTGCTTTTGGAGACGAGGAAGTTATATTTAATTTCGGCATATCCTTCGAGACCGTATGTAACCTTGCAACAGGACTCGATAGATCTTCTCCAATTTGTACTCGTGCTGCTCCATGCTTTAGCATTATGTTCTCTTTCTGTTCATTCTCTTCTGCAATAGCATCTGTCACTAATCGACTAGATCCTGGTAGTAGTCGATTAGTGCTACTACGGTGTTTCATGACATTAACACTTCCACTTCCATCTTCACTTCCACTTGCACGTCGATCTACAAATGCTTGTCCTGAACTAAGTCTTGGAATAATACCCCAAAATGCAGGTGATGATGACGTCATTGTTTTTTCATCTTCATTCATATCTTCATGACTATAACTTGCTCGATTTACTGTTGCATTTGTTGCATTTCTACTTGTCCCGATTGTCTTTTTCTCTCCTTCCATGTCATCATTCTGATCCTCATCAGTCTGATCAGTAGTATCATCAGGATCAGTCGTATCCTTCTTTTCCATTAAACAATGTCGTGGCCATCCATCCAATGTATCTTGTTTCTGTATATAACTTTGATCTACTACAAGTTCTCTTGTAATCCGTCCAGATTCAATGGTTTCACCTTCATATCGTAAGAAACGACTTCCAGAACAGACAGCATAGCGATAATGCACAATAGATCCATTTGGTGCAACAACTGGTTCTAAATTATACCAAATTGGGTATAAATCAGGCGTTGTAACCAATTGTAACCCATTTTCCGTCCCCGGATTACCTGGATTAGGTACGACATCAATTGATCCACCAAGAACTGGTAAATCACCTACAAGCCATAGTGTTTGACCATGTCCTAATGTTGCATAGACTTGAAAATCAATTCGTGTACCACTTGGAGGAGCTGGTAAGCCCCAGCCGACAGCATGACGTAAACGCTGTAACATGGCTTAAAAGGATTCTGATTCTAATGTCGTTTTTAGGTCTTAATTCTAAATTAATTAAGGATTAAATTCTAAGAACAAGAAGGAAAATGTGAGCGACATACAAAGAATAAGATTAAAATAATAATCAATTCCACTTACTTTGGAAAAATTGCCTAAATGAATGCGCGTAAATCGACAAAAAGGGTTCTTTTGTTTGATTTTGGACTGACTCAAAATTGACTCGGCCATTGATGAAACGTCATTCAAACGAAACAATGACATACATGTCGTAATTAGCTCATTTTCGGCGTAAATTGAGTGTTTATCAAAATAAAAACGTAAGAGTAATACCTTTTTATGTCCTTGCAAGAATGTCTGGAACGTACCGTCTCTTGTATCACTTGGCAACAGTATATTAATGGCACATGCTAACTGGCTTTATATACAACTGCAAACTGTGTGGCTTGGTATTCCAGTCAAGCTCTCAATGTATTTCTGCTCATGTTCTTCTTCCCTTCTGTCTGCTTGCCTATTCTACAGTAAGCACCTTGAGCATATTGGTCGAACCAGAGCGAGCCTCCACCATACCATGAAGAGCAACAACATTGTCACCAGGTTTCACCCATCCATACTGCTTCCCCAGATCCGTTGCACGGTACAAAATCGAGTCCGTGCCAATCATTGAACCCATGCAACGAGCTCTCACACCCTTGTAGAATCCTTCAGCCTGGCGAGCGCTCCCTGCCATAGCTGTCAGTACAAGCACTGGGATTGAAGGACGAAATTTGGACACCAAACGCGCGGTGCTGCCAGATTCCGTCAGCACTACAATCATCTTGGCCTTGATGTCGGCAGCAGTCTTTACAGCCGACGATGCAATAGCCTCTTGCGTTGGCATTGGGCCGTAAGTATCCAATACAGCTTTGCGAAGCGACTGGTACACATCATCATAGTGTATAGCACCCTCCGCCTGGACGCAAATCTTGGACATCATTGTCACAGCCTCCGTAGCATAGTCACCGTTAGCAGTCTCACCCGAAAGCATGACAGCATCGGTGCCGTCAAGCACAGCATTAGCCACATCCGTACACTCAGCACGAGTAGGTCGAGGGGCCTTGATCATCGACTCCAACATTTGTGTAGCAGTCACGATCGGTTTACCTGCAATGTTTGCCTTACGAATCATCATTTTTTGTGCCAAAAACACCTTTTCAGGTGGAATCTCCATGCCCAGATCACCACGGGCTACCATGATGCCGTCCGTCCTAGCTAGAATCTCATCAAAGTTTTCAAGCCCTTCTTGACTCTCAATCTTGGCAATAATCTTGATGCCACGGCCTCGGGGGCCAAGCACCTTGCGGATGTTATCAATATCCTGACCCGTGCGCACGAATGACGCAGCAATATAGTCAACGCCGTTTACGAGACCAAAATTGACAAGATCATCCTCATCCTTTTCCGTCAGCGTCGGTAACATCACCTTACAGCCGGGTAAATTCATATTCTTGCGTTCCCCTAGTGTGGCGGTATTGTTGGCACGGGTGACGATCCCATCGTCCTTAATCTCAAGCACAGTGAGCACCAGCGAGCCATCGGCCACCAGCACTAAGCCGCCAACCTCAACAGAGTGTGGAAGCTCCGGATACGAGCACGCAATCTTCGTCTCATCACCAAGAAACTCGTAGTCTGTCGTAAGCTCAAGGATTGCGTCTTTTTGAATCGTTACCTTGTCCTTGTTGGCCAAAAAGCCCGTACGAATCTCTGGGCCCTTCGTGTCCAGCATAACGGCAATGTTCTTGTGCGGACGGCTCGCGAGTGCACCACGTAAACGATTGAGCGTCTCAGCATGACTGGTATGATCACCATGCGAGAAGTTAAGACGGGCCACGTTCATTCCAGCGTCAATGAGTTCACCAAGTCCCTCTTGTGACCAGCACGCTGGACCTAGCGTGCAGAAGATCTTAGTCTTACGCTCAACACCTTCTGTACTGCGCATTATATTTTCAAGTTCAACGCCTTGTTGGCTAAGACCAATAGCTCCTGACATGATTAAGAAGGAGGAGAGGGGTGTAGTTTACTTCTTTGCTTGGGTGCTTGGATGCGATTTTGACTGTGACTGACTGATTGACTACTGGTCAACAACTCCTGAAGAACTTCATCATGTTGCTGACATTACATACCTTTTCTAAATCGATTGGTACGCTAGTTATCGTCTTAGCAAGTACTCACGCTTCAAAGAGGTGTGCTTTGCAAACATTTGATCGCCTGTATGATACTACTTCTTCTTGATCGTAGAAGGTCAACTGTATAAGCTCCATAGGGAATCAAGACTACGTTACATGTTAATGCTAAGAAAATCCTGACGGTGTATGCAATCGTGTCCTAGGATGATGGACATTTACTTGGCTTTCGAAAACATGTTGCATCTTACGCACATGATATAGAAGTGAACTGTAGTAAGCAGTAACGAATCAACAACAAGTTAGTCATAGCTGAAAGGAATTCATCGCAAACCTTGCATCTGAAGCAAATTTTACACAGGTAGGTAGGCACTTTTACAGTCAATGACGATTAGACACTGGACAGATGAACTTAAAGCGGCTACAGTAACAATTTAGAGCACGTTGCAGGGCTCTACGACAAACAATACGAAGGATCTAGCACCGGATCCGGCTCACTCCATCAGTACCCCACCATGACGGTTTTTCACGCATAAGCACGTCTACCGAGCCATGATGCCAGTGTGAACGCTCACTGTTGTAGGCCTGTCTTCTGTAGGCATTCGCATTTGTTACTGTTTGAGCAAAACCTGTGAGGACAATAAATGTATAATTCGCATGCGTTCCCAATTTGTGCACTCCAACAGCGCCTAATGTGCTGAAGACGGCAATAGTGAGAACTAGCTTTTATTAGAGCCTCATTCAGGAATCTGACGTAATCAGATATATGGTTCAGCCGCAGTTTCCTAGGAGAAAGAAAGCAAACAGATTGTCGATTTACTGTTTAGCGCAAGATGGATGGTAGGAAGTGAACCACATTAAAAACGCTGGAAGGTCTAGAGTTGCGTACTCATCACCAAAAGCCGGTACTCTCGGTGGCGACACGCAGCTCTTGACGCCTCCTCGTCCGTCTCAGCTTTGAGACAACGGACTGTTGTTGAATCGTGGCTGACTGTCTGGTTTACACCGCCCGCGAACGTGGGTTCTTTTCAGCGCAGATTGGAGTAAGCTGGCTCCTAGGAAACAGATTCAGAATATGAACTTATTTTGTACTGACGTGTTGGTAATAGTAGCGTAAATGGCTTTGTCAGGCACTACTAAGAACCAACAGTAAGGAAGTTCTGGTGGCGCAGATAGAAACAGCCCTGTTGGAAAATACAAAGCAGTCAACTCAGTTATTCTCAACTTTGTTACGGAATTCTAAGGAGCGTGGTACATTTGCTTTACAGCAGAAATATTCAAGATACCATGACTACACAATAAATTCGAAGTAGAAAAGTTACAGTTGCTGTTCGTTTTATTCTGCATCGAATTCTAATAACTGGTGTGACCAGTTGCAACTGGTTCAACACGGCAGACAGCTTTGGCCAGCCACCTTACAGTCTGCTGCATCCGAGAGGCACCATTTCATTCTTGTCCGTGATCATCTTTGTTGCCTTCACACTGCTTCAAACATTGAAAAATGCAAGCTAACACTCATTGTCGCTGAATTTTGGGTCTCAGAACTTTGGTGTGTCCGTGTGCCAATTGACGACTAGTGTCACTTCTATAATGTTGAGTTTCCCGCTCGGACGAGATGAGCTCAAGCAGAAACAGACGCGGATATATAGCTCATAAAAACGTGTGAGTTATACCAAAACCGGTCATTTGACAATTTACTTCATTGAGCGCAGAAGTTCAACAATGACTAGGGTCATTGTGTTGCTTTGTCTAGCGTTTTACAGCTCGGCTGAAAGCATCGCCAACTCCGAGCCGCTTGTAAATGTTAGTTATCATACCAGCAAAGCCCCAACATATTCCATGCCAAATGACCCGTCGCTAAAGCCATACAACAGTGCTGAAGCCAGAGCCCCTGATTTTGCCTCCTTGGTTTCGGACCTTGAGGAATCAAAGATGCTGCTGGCATTAGCCGGAGCGAGCGCAAGTCATCAAGGAGTCGCTTTTGATCTTGATGCTGCAGATAGTATTGCTGCAGATATTATTGCTGCAGCGAATCTTATGAGGTTGCAAGGTCAAGATAGCATCTCCGAGGTCGTTTTGCGATTTAAATTGAGGTTATAACATTCTAAAAACATGTCTAACAGCCCCTTATTGAATGCGTTTATCGTGCAGATATCAAAGCATGCCACACGCCGTCTCTTCATGGTCTATAAGCCGGGTGAGCAGGACAATCTGGTGGATTATATCGGCAGTGTGAAGTATAGTAAGTGGGAAAGCGCGGTGGTCTACATCTGCAAAGACAAAAAGGATCTGGCTAGATCCAGCATTGTCGAAGTCTTGACGACTGCGTATGGAGACCAGACTCTGTGTGATGCACTGAAACTCAAGCAAGCTATGAATGAGCACGATGAAGTCGCACGTTCATTAAGCGACGCACAGGTACATATGTGGGCGACAACCGGTAAGGATCCGGAAAATGTTTTTATGTGGCTCAAAGGTAGTGGAAACGGCGACTCTTTCAAACCTATATTACGTAGAGGGTGGGAGACTTTCGTTGAGTTTCGTGATCGAGGCGAAAACCCGGACGAACTACTGAAAAAGCTCCATCATCATGATGGAGAGGACAAAGTCGAAGGAGCTTTACGTCCTAATTAGTAGAGTCAAGATTATTTTTCCTGGTATCTCTTGCTATTTCTCTCTCGCTGCTTTTCCTACATCCAGAGCCAGCCCTATATGAGGAAGCTGCACATCAGCGTTTCTTAAATCCATACTTCTTGCGTTCGTAAAAAAGATCCATCTTGGAGCTTCCGAGGTTGACAATCTTGGGGCAACCATCACGATCTTTTTCCAGCTGCGTACATTCCCGACAGTAATAAGCGTCCGAGATTCCTGGGCCACCGCAAATAACGCACCGACCTTGGTATGAACCGTAATTACACTCATCACAGATGCGTACCAGAGTGCACGGACGTACGTAAGAGTCACAAATTACACACTTGCCATCATCTCTCTCGCATAGGCGACCGATTGCTAACCCTGGCTGCTTGCGGCACATGATCAAATCCGGGTGGTGCTTTGCCATACTTATGACTGCTGCTTACTGCTTTGCCTAGAGAAAAGCATGAAATATGTGTCTTGACAGGTAAAACTATTCCAGGAGTCCTTTTCGAAGACTGTGTTGTTTTAATATGTGGTGCACATACCGTCCACATTTTGTACTCAGACTATTATTATATCATAACGCAAAACAAAATCATAACAAGGGGAAGGGCTCTGCATACATTCAGAAAGTTAAGTGCAAACCAATCAAAACGTAGCATGTATGTCGTCCATCCCTGATCTAGAGAACAAACCAAGTCACAAAAAAGTTATGTCATCTCTCCTAGTAAAATCTCTTGAGTTTGTATAGCCTCGACGCTCATTCTCTTTGAGTACCAGGCATACTCAAGCGAAGTCAAGCGATTTTCCAGGGTTTTTGGGGGCGTGATGGAACCACTTGCAGTGAACGAGCATGGCGCGGGAGCGGCCTGGGCGGCCATTAAGACCGAAGCTGGTGGCACCAAGAAGCGTAAGCGATTACAGAAGAAAGCACCGGGTGCACCTAAACGTGGCAAGTCTCCGTACATTCTGTTTTCTATGGAGAAACGCGAGGAGATCAAATCTACAATGCCCGACAACTCCAAGGTGACGGATGTGATGCGTGCCATTGCTGACGCATGGGGTAAGATGAGCGATGAGGACAAGCAGCCGTGGAAGATTGCAGCGGAGGCTGACAAGCAACGCTACGAGGAGGAGATGGCGGCATACGACGGTCCACTACGCGTACCCAACAAGCGTGCGAAGAAGCATCCGGACGCACCCAAGCGTGCATCATCTGCTTTTCTCTTCTATAGTCAGGTGATGCGACCACGCATTAAATCTGAACACCAAGACATGAAGAATACGGAAATTTCCAAGCAATTGGGCGAAGCCTGGGCCAAGGCCACAGACGAGCAGAAAGCCCCGTTTGTTGCAAAAGAAAAGATCGACCGTGCGCGTTACAAGCGTGAGATGGAAGAGTGGAACAGCCACAAGGCTGAGCGTGAGTATAATGAATCCCAACAGCAGTACAACAATTACGCGGCCATGACGGGCTTTGACCAGATCAGTTATACGGGCTCGTACTCAACTACGGAGGTGTAAAGCAGGTTTTGTTTTTTGCTGAATCTTACGATAGAGGCCTCTTAAGCCTCCCTCATTACGTGCCGATGTTGGAGATGTTTTGTACCACGAAGGCGGCGTGCATCGTCGCCAAGGAGGAAGGTGCATTTCATTAGTTCTTGTTATTGCATTTTGTACGTATCGTATCCTTCCCCACCGCCAATATATTCTTTCGAGCTTTTGTGTTGGCCTTTCGTGGATTTACTTAAGGCACAGTCTCATTGTTTTCGGTTTCCTGCTCTTGCGCGCTTCGAAAACGTATTTGCACTTACTTTCATGACGTGTAAGATAATCGCTGCTTACCGTTTTTGTAGTGTGTCTTATCTGGCGCTTCACGCAACAACTGCCACCTTTTGTCAAAGGTTGTCAAAAGACTTGCTTATACTAGGCTTGGGGAAAATCACTCGAACCGTTAAGATACTAAGTAGGTCACGTTGTTGCAATTATATGAGTCAAAAACAACAAAACAACTAAAGCCTGCTCCTCCCGACCACATGGCCGTCGATCCGTACCCGTCACGCCGGCGACAAAGCGTCTACACCAGGCAGCACCTTGCCCTCCAAAAGCTCCAGACTGGCACCGCCACCTGTGCTCACGTGGCTGACCTTGTTCTCCGTGTTGTACTTCACGCAGCACGTTGCCGTGTCACCACCACCAATGATGGTGGTGGCACCCAACTCTGTGGCCTTAACGACAGCAATCATGACGCTCTTCGTTCCGTTGGTAAAAGCGTCAAACTCGAACACGCCCATGGGGCCGTTCCAGACGACGGTCTTGGCCTTACTAATGGTGATGGAAAAGGCCTCGCTCGACTTGGGACCAATGTCCAGACCCATCCAGCCAGCAGGGATACCCTCGTCTTCAGTGACAATTTTATTGGCAGCTTTTGCCGCAAACTTTTCGGCGGCGACAAAGTCCACAGGCAGGTGCAACGTCACGCCCTTGACTTTCGCTTTCTCGATAATCTGCGGCACAATCTTAGCGCCCTCCGCATCGTATAGCGAGCTGGCTATCTCCATGTTGTTAAGCACCTTCTTGAAGGTGTAGGCCATACCACCACCAATGACCATCTCGTCGACCTTGTCAAGCATGTTCATAATCAACTGAATCTTGTCGGCGACCTTTGCACCGCCTAGAATCGATACAAATGGGCGTTGTGGCGTATCCAAAGCTTTTGCAAAGTACACAAGCTCTTTGTCCAGAAGAAAACCAGCGGCCTTAACGGGAAGATTCACGCCCACCATAGAGCTGTGTGCGCGGTGGGCCGTGCCAAAAGCGTCATTAACGTACACATCACCCAGCTTACTGAGCGAAGCACGAAAGGCGGCAACAGCTTCAGGTGATGCCTTTATCGTATTACCCTTGTCATCTTTTCCTTTCCCTTCCTCTTCTGCATGAAAGCGAAGATTCTCAAGAAGAATCACTGTACCTTCAACGGGATCAGCGCAAGCAGCTTCAACTTCAGCGCCAACACAATCCTTCAGAAAAATGACCTTACGGCTTAATTTCTTTTCAAGGACCTCAGACACAGAGGCAAGTGATTCCTTGTCTTTCGGTCTGCCTTCAGGACGGCCCAAGTGTGACATAAGCACGATAGACTTAGCACCTTGATCCAGCACGTACTGCACAGTGGGCAGCGCAGCGTCAATGCGCTGCGTATTGGAAATGGACCCGTCCTGTGCAAATGGGACGTTAAAATCCACACGAATAAGCACGCGTTTACCTTTCACATCCACGTTTTTAATGCTAAGCTTGGTCATGATCTTACGAGATATCTTAATACAAACAACAACAAGAAGAAGAGTGTTGGTCGTTTGATTGAGCTGACTTTCTTAGAAATAAAATCTTGCTCACGTCAGCGTGTGGCAAAATCCATGATACGTCAGGTCGCAACATATGTGGTGCACACGAAATAGAGCCATTTCAGTAATGGAACTTGATTAGATACGCAGCAATATGATTTTCCTACGTATCTCAAGGCTTTCAATCGACTTTCGATCTTTCCGAAAACCTTGTATTCGGTTATGTCATGTAGCAGTAGAAGAAAACGACAGAATTGTTACATGACTTGAACTTTGATTTATTTTAGATTAGCATGGAAATGCTTGTGATGAAAGAACACTGACGACAAAGTTGCCGACAAAACCCCCCCGTCTCGTAGCTGAAACTGCGCATTTAATTCGTCAATGTCGTGTGACGCCATTTCAATCTACAGTAATTATGACAATCTTACAACCTTATTGTACACTTGAAGCTGCTTCACTGATACAAAGCAGTGCTATGGTCATTACTGATATTGTGGTCGACATAACGAAGTCATTACTCTCAAAAAGCAACTTCAAGCAAAGTATCATGGCTACATGTCATCCACTCGGTTTCTATTGTCGATCATTCTTCAATCTTCTATCTACAACACAAGAAAAAAACAGTTGTTGCAGCAAGCAAGAACAACAGTATTGCTCCATGGTAGCTAGACAGCGAAAGAGTCGGACTACGGCAAATAGCAAGCGCGACAAAGAGCAGAATGTAGCACTTGAGACAGCAGATGTACTTACGAGGAAGAAAGCTAGAGTGGCATTACAAGACGTCGAGGAGCTGAGCCCTGAGCCGATAGCTCAGCATGTCGCTCGCTTGGAATTAAAGGTGCAAGAGTTGGGAGAAGAGAACGCGCGACTGAAGGAGCAAATGGAGAAGCTGGAGAAGAAACAGCGTGATGACAAGACCGTTGAACCCAAGTGCAAGTCGAATCTAAAGCGCAAACGAACAGCAAAGGTCAAATCAAGAGAGAAAGTGGTGACAGTGAGGGCTTTACCAAAGAGGAAAGGGTCAAAGATTTAGTCCAAAAGTAAGTTGCAAGCAAGAAAGAATGAAACCAATCACTTTGATTATGCTTTCAATAGTAACTTGCATCCAGAGGTATCAAAGGGAATGAGAAAACAAGCTTCCTACATTGTTTTCACTCTGTTGTATCTTGTTTTGTAGGGAAGACAAAGCAAGATCTCAGCTCAAGCAATCGTCGAGACGGAATGCTTCCTATCCACTTAACTCATCACTCTATAATACAGTTTCAGTAAACACATTAGCAATGCTGTCATTCGGTCCAGTCTAATATTGTTAAAGTGCTTCTTGAAGCATAATTTCTTTTACTCGCAGTGTCGTACGAAAGTGTTGTCTTTTGTCCATGGTAACGGTGTTAGAACGTCTCACATGCGTTGCATCTTTGTTTCATGTTGATACTATGGAATCGGCATTGTGACGTTGTTTTCCTCTTGTGACCACTGTCGTATACATCTGAAAAGACGCTCAGCACGTAAGATGCTTACATGAAACTAGCAAGAGAGAGCAAAGGAAGTGAAGAGATTGTGCAGTAAGGGAAAAAAATCAAGCTGAACGGCAATTATATTGTCGTTAGTTAACAAAAGGTCTCTAGGAGTTAGAAATCATTCCCTCGTGTCTTCGTTTGCTCAACAGACAGACAGAAGTTTCAGTTTGGCACCACGTCGCAGATCGCTTCAACGTCGTAATTTTTAAACTAAATTTCAACAAATCATACTCTTGTTTTCATCTTTTCATCCAATCTTCAAGCTCCACGGGCACAGACTAGTTTAGTAATAATTGACAACATCTTTTGAAATACAATCATTCAAAGTTTCCCCTCTTCGTTGCATCGTTAGTGCGGTAGAAGAAAGAAGAGAAAGCTAAGATTGACACAGAGAGACAGATAGAGAGAAAAAGAGCGTGAGACAGAGAGAGAGAGAGAGAGAGATAGACAGACAGACAGATCGAGTCAGAAGGTTTTAGTATTGGTACCGACGTAATCAAAGATTCGATTAAGAGTCAGAACGGAACCGATCACTTCGAGACAAGAAAGACACAACAAGTATTTGTTTATTGTGATATCACGCAGTCATGTTGGGTAAACCACGCATTGAGATTGCACTTTCCAGTACATTGCCATCATATGATCGCTTTCAACGTCATCGAGCGTTGCCTGTAGATGGCGCTAATCTAAGTATTGCACAACGTCTTGTGTTAGAGAATAAAAAGCGTGCATTGAATTCAGCACGACGTCGTAGCACACAAGAGGTGGTAACATCGTTACAATATACACCAGTGGAATTGGGTTCACATATATGGATTCCAGACCCAGAGCATGTATGGCGTGTAGTAGAGATTGTACGCTATGAACCGACTGGAGATCCGGAAAAAGGCATGATTTTGACGGTGAATGGCAGATTTGGTCAGGAAAAAATTGATATGCGTGACATTGGTGATTTATATAAGGTCAATCCACGTGTTGTTGATGACATGACAGGTCTCTACTATATTCATGAGGCTGGTATTCTTGAGAATCTTCGTGTACGATCCAAGATGGAGAATTTAAGACCTTATACGCTCATGGCCAATGTACTTATTGCTGTCAATCCGCTTGTGCGTACGGTTGAGCCAAAGGTCACAGATTATATCAAAACGCAAATGGGTGATCGATCACCACACCCATACTCGATTGCAGAGGTGGCTTTTCAGCAGATGGCACTACGTACACCGGCCCAGTGCCAATCCATTGTCATTTCCGGTGAATCAGGAGCTGGAAAGACTGAGACGTCTAAGATTGTATTGCGTTATCTCACATCACGTGAACACTTGGCCCTTACGGCCAATAAGGGCAGTGTCGCACAGCAGGATCTAGCACTTGAGCTAGACAAGCGACTTTGGGACACCAACCCCATTCTCGAAGCTTTTGGTAATGCGAAGACACTACGTAACCACAACTCGTCGCGTTTTGGCAAGTTTATGAAGTTGCAGTTCAAGCCTGGTGACAACACATTGAGTGGCGCTTTTATCGAGACATACTTGCTAGAAAAGTTCCGTGTTGTAGCACAGATTCCTGGAGAGCGCAACTTCCATATTTTTTACTTCTTGCTCTCAGGTGCTAACCAAGCGCTTGCCAAAGAGCTCAAGCTTGAGTCCGTCAATAACTTTTCATATTTGAACCAAAGTGGCTGTGTGTCAGACCCAAATGTGGACGATGAGATTTTGTTCGACGAAGTGGCGAGTGCACTTGGCTCCGTGAACATTGACGCTGGACTGCAAAAGCAAGTTTGGACAGTTTTATCAGGCTTGCTGCATCTGGGCAACGTCCGATTAAAAGACCGTGAGACGGCTGAGGGTGACGCGGGAGAGGTGACGCCGGTAGCTCAGAAGTACGTGGCGTCGTGTGCTGAGCTGCTTGGAGTGGACAACAATAATCTATTGCACGTGATTACTACCCGTGAGATCTCGACACGGACGGAAAACTTTACAATCAAACGCACGGCAAAGGAGGGAAGCTATGTGCGTGACGCTATTGCCAAATCGATGTACAACCGCTTGTTCAAATGGATTTTGTACAAAATTAACAGCTCGCTGGGCCACGGTGACAGCTCGCTACCATTCATCGGTGTGCTTGATATCTTTGGTTTTGAGTCATTCGAGGAAAACGACTTTGAGCAGCTGCTGATTAATTACGCCAACGAGGCCTTGCAGGCCACGTTCAACCAACAGGTCTTTATCGCCGAGCAGGAGCTGTTTGCAGCTGAAGGTATCGAGGTTGGCAAGATTATTTGGCCCGACAACCGCGAATGCATTGATTTGATTTCACAAAAGCCGAACGGTATTTTGCCTTTGTTGGACCAGGAGGCGAAAATGCCCAAACCGTCTGACGAAAAATGGAATGCTACGCTACACAAGACTCACTCAAACCACCCGCACTTTTTATCTCCTCACGAAAAGGATAAGAAGTACGAGTTTATTGTAAAGCACTTCGCCACGCGCGTGCCATACACAATCGGCAACTTTATTGACAAGAACAACGACACGATTCCCAAGGATTTGGAGGATTTTGTTACTTCCAGCAAGTCTTCGCTAATTAAGGAACTGTTTTCGTCAAAGTTGGATCTTGACACAATGAACGGTGCACCAAATACTAGTCAGCTTCACAAGCAAAGTGTATCTGCTAAGTTTTGTGACCAAATGCAGGAGCTCACGGACACGTTGAATGCGACGCGCTGCAACTTCATCCGGTGTATCAAGCCAAACCCAACAATGTCGCCCGGCGTTTTTGACAATGGCTACGTTGTAGACCAGCTACGTTGCTCCGGAATGTTGGCTACGTGCGAGCTGCTAAAGGTTGGTCTGCCTACGCGTGTGGCTTACGAGGAAATTTGTCGGATCTATAAGCCCGTGTTGCCGCCTTCCGTCACACCGATGTTCAACGCGTACAATGACCGTACTTTCACGGAAGCAGTACTCTGGTCATTTCGTGTTGAGTCTGATGCCTACCGTCTAGGTCGGACAAAAGTTTTTTTTAAGACTGGCAAGATTGCTTTGCTTGATGCGTTGCTGAAGGTCGACATGAAGAAGATGGGTCCATGGATTGTTGCTCGTCTTCGCAAGTGGCTGGCGCGTCGACGTTGGCGTTATGCTTTGGCCAAGGTGCTGGCTCAGCGCGCATTCCTGTGGTTGTTGGAGGACACAAGAAGACGCAAGGCCGCTATCGTTAAGATGCAGGCCGTGATGCGGATGTTTGCCGTGCGTAAGCACTTTGTTCGCGCTCGCAATGCGTACCGCTTAAAGATGCGCCGCAAAGTACTTGCGCAGAAACACTGGAAGATGGCCATTGGTGGAGTTCGGGCTGCTAACGCTTTTAAGAAGCTATTGCAGCAGACTCGCGAGCGCATGGCCGGTCGGCTTGCAGCTCAAAACGCTGCCGCTGTGAAGATTCAGTCCATTGTCCGTGGTAAGCTTGGCCGTAAGCAAGCAGAAAAACGATATGCACAGGTACAAGATGAGAAGATGCGCAAGAGGCTTGCGGAAGAGAATGCTCGTCTGGAGGCTGAGAAGAAAAAGTCGGCCAAAAAACGCTGGGTATCGGCATTCTATGTTATTCAGGCTCAGCGCCACTTTGTGAAACGCCTGTACCACATTCGTAAGGCTAGTTTGGCAGTGGAGGAGGCTCGACGACTTGCGGCTGAACAGGAGCAGCTGCGGTTGCAGCGGGAGGAGGAGGAGCGCCAGCGTCGCCTTCAAGAAGAAGAGGAGGAACGTGAACGCCAGCGCCAGTTGGAACTGAAGCGTGCTACTGCGGCTGCTTTAATTCAGCGTGCTTATCGTCGATCTCTTGAGCGCGAAGAGGCAAGGCGTCAGGCTGCTGTGGAGCGTGCCCAAGCCGCTTCACTTGCTGCTGCGATGGCTGCGCAAGATGCCGCTCAAGCCGCGCACGATGCATCTATGGCGCACGATGCTGAGGCGGCTGCTCTTCGTAAGCTAAGCGCATACGATGAGGCCCAGAGGAAGGCTGCTGCGGCTGGCACGCTAGGAACTGCCCCTGCACTTGGTGCGCTGGGTGTCGCCGGTGTTGCTGGCAACGGCCCTGTCGCGCTGGGCTCGGTGCAGCCCCTGCAAGCGTCCGTTGGCCAGGCTGGACAGATTGGTGCTGTAGGATCCATGGGTGTTGCCGGCGCCATGGTAGGACAGGAGTCACTTCAGAGTGCTGACATGAGCTGGGTTGCTGGCGACAATGCCAAGATTGAAGGCGAGGCCGTTGCTGGCGATGCTCTGCGTCAAGAGCAGCTCGCTCAGGCTGGCCGCGACCTTTTTGGTGAGGGCGGCGAAGCACCGGCTGGACCTGTGATGTCTGCTGATGACGAGAACTTGGTCAACCCGGTTGAGAAGATACAGGAATTTCCGACGGGCCCTCCGATTCCGTATAAGGGTGGTATTATGACATGCACAATGCTTGGTCACCGCAAACAGCAGGACCAGAACTGGGGCGATGAGTACACGGAGTATGTGCTGCGTGTGACCTGGGGCCGTGACATCCTTGAGCAGTCCAAAACTGCCTGGCTCGTGGGTGGTCGCTATAACGATTTCAATGCGCTTCACCAAGAACTAAAGGCTGCGGCTTCCGGTCGTCGTGGCAAGCGGGCTCCATGGTTTCCACGTTTTCCGAAACGCCACCCGTTTTCATCAATGATAGGCAAGAATCAGGAGGAGAAGTTTATTATCAAGCGTGAGAAGGAGATGAACCGCTACATGACTCAAGTGCTAACGCAGATGCCGGACGCTCTATTGAACATCCATTTGGACCGTTTTCTCAACCTTACTCTTCGTACGCAGGACATCTGCGAGCGTGAGGCGTACGCTGAGGCCCGCAAGCGCTGGGAGGAGGAAGAGCGTGAGGCACTAGCTAATGCTGCTGATGCGGAGCCACTGAACGACGCTGACCTTCAGGAGGTGGAACAATTGGTGCACCAATTGCTACAGAAGATTATCTACGCTGCTGGTGACGTTCGCCAGGATACGGAGTTGCAAGAGATGATCCACGCTGTCAAGGTGTTGCAGCCTCGTGTGGCAGCATCGGCCCAGATTGGTGGCAATGTAAACATTGAGCTGATTCCACTAGCTCATGCAGCTGCAGGACGATATCCAAGACGCCTTCAACCAGTACAACGACACACTTCTGGCGCTACGGCTGGGCCAGGACCTCAACTAACCGTCCAGTCGGTTTTCGTGGATGAAGGTCGATTCACGTGTGTTGTCTGAAGTGGAGCTATGTTTCTTTTTACATTTGACCAAATTTGCATGTTTCAAATGGGATGGTCTCGATCGAAGAGGCCACAGTCCTTACCGCTGCACACACAGTAAGAGCGTTTCTTTTTCGCAATACAGTGTACGTGCGACATACGCTTGCACCCTCTCACCACCACTATCTGGTGTCTTTGTCTTACAGCTTTCTGACATTGAATAGATGACATGTAAAAGGTGTCGTCTTGTTATACTCATTCCTCTCTACTGATACTGTGTTGATCCTTATTGGAATCAAGACCTTGAAAACCTTTGGCCACCATGAATATCTCCGTAGACTCGGACCTGGAAGACGGAGGTTTCATGGCTTTCACCACATCAAATACTTCTTTAAGATCCGCTCGAAACTCTTCCGAACCATCGCAGCGTAGAATCTTTGTCACAAAATGCCCCCCAGGTCGCAAAAAGAGTCCTGCCATCTTGAGCGCATTGTGACACAATCGCAACTGGTGCTGACTGTCCATGAACAAGTTGCCCGAGAAGGACGGAGCCATATCACTAAGCACCACATCGGCCTTGCGTCCTCTTAAGGCTTCATTCAGCTGCTTCCTCACCCCCGTTTGTCTAAAATCGCCTATCACACTTACCGCACCTTGGACGGGGTCAAAATGTTTGAGATCCACGGCCACAACTGTCGGTTGACTCGAATTCTGCTGTTTTCTATTGCTCTTTAATGCTGTGGTCTCCGCTGCCACTTGGGTCCAACCACCGGGTGCTGCACCTAAGTCCAGTACCAAATCGCCTCGTCTCAATAGCTGATACCGCTGCTTCGTAGACAAGAAAGCAGAATAAGACATGATGTACTACTAGTTTCAAAGTAAACATTATCGCTTGTCCTTACATCGTTGAGCTCACGCAATTTCAAGGCCGCACGAGAACGAAGACCTTCACGTTTCGCTTGCTTTACGACAGGATCACTCCATTGTCGACGTACCCAACGAGCGCTGGCATTTGATTTACCCTTGAGACTTTTGATGACCATTTCGTGTTCCGAGAATGTCGATATGTATGAAATGTAGCTAATAGAATATGAAAATGTTTGCACTACATCTTGTAGAGGTGATTTGTAGACATGATTCATTATATTAAACAGTCCATTACGTATTAATCTAAAGACTGTGTAGAATCGCTGTATCTGCTGGAGGTCTCGACTGCTCTTGCAAACCAAATTGAGCGTATCCAGCCACTGGATTGAGAGTATGAACATACGCAAGTTTCTTGCTCCAGGCCAGTGATACTCGAAATTCCTCATAGTGGTGAAGGCGCCAACTGGCAATGTGAATCAAGTTTCTACAAAGGCTCAATTTCTCGCATCTCAATCGATAACTCTTTGTACTTGTGCATTTTCTTCGCTCCCAACGAAGGTGCATCAACGTCTACTTTTTCATGAATCGTACTGCTAGATGGTAGACTTTCCTCATCAGGTAAAACTTGCGCCAGTGGATGGTGGTAGAGATACATGGAGATGATCAGTACTCCGAGCCCACAACCAAACTCGAATGAGGGTGAAAAGGCAAAAAACAACATGGATAAAAATGTCGTGAACATCATTGCTATCGAGTGCGAGTACACGCAGGCAATATTGTCCAGATATTTGAGGATGCAGGCCATAAAGATGCCACCGATAGAGTTGACAACGACCACAATCATCGTCCAGCCACTATAGCCATAAAAGAATCCGTCCGACAGCAGCAACTTCCCGTCAATGAGAAGCAGACCCAAACCATTAAACAAAACGCCAAATCCGTACATCTGCACGCTTTGCCACAAGAAGGAACAGTCCGATTGTCGCTTCAGCGCCCACTCTGCACATACACTCGCGCATGACGATAACGTCAAGCCAAGCAATGCTAGCATAATGCCGAGCAGCATATGATGTGAGCCGTCTATGACCGCATTGCTGTGGAAACGGTCGGACTGGCTTGTCAACACGCCCAAAACCAGCAAAACAATCGCCAACTTGTGCAGCTCCGACAGCTTCTGCTTGAGTACGTAATGGAATAGGACGGCAGTTAGCAGGATCTTTAAGTTCCATAGCACAGACACTGTGGCAGCATCCAGATAGCGCAGCACGACGTAGTTCAAGTTGCTCTCCAGGGCGTTGAGTAGCGCCGGTACTGCGTAGTAGCCGCTCGTTCGCACATGAAATTGACTCGGGACTGTCGAGTGCGTGACGATGATTGCTGTCAGCATGGCGCTGAGCTTCAGCCCCTCGACGAGAAAGGTGACAGTGGTGCTGCTGTAGGGCACGAGACCGTCGACCTTGGACGCGATGATACAGAGGTTCCCGGAGCACAGGAAAGCTGCAGCCATCAGCATCAACGCTACCTTCTGTCCCAGCTCCATCTATAACAAAAGTTGAAAGCACAATATGTTTACCTTCTTTGCTAACGCGTGTGTAGACGGCAGTGACAATCATAACGTACATTTTGGTGGTAACCGATAGATACGTCGCTCATCACCAGACGTGACTAGCTAAAGACGATAAACTCCAATTGAAACTTCATCGTGACAAACCAATCCTTTTGTGATTGGGCATGTACATCATCCCGTTATATGGGAACAGGCTTAGGCCCTAAGATTGGTCAGAACTTTGGAGAGGTTAATGTTCAACGACGTGTTATATAGACAACATAAAACACAGTTTGCAAGCAGGCTGTTTGAGTGCCAAAGGATGGGACGGGGCTGGCAGATGGATATCAGCATTTTTGGTAGATATTCATTGTGATGAAGGTTATTGCTGCCATAAAGACGGAGACTCTGGACTTCGAAAAGGCATATTAATGGAATAGTTTGACTTGTCGAGACACACATTGCATGCTTTTCTCTAGGCAAAGCAGTAAGCAGCAGTCATAAGCATAGCAAAGCACCACCCGGATCTGATCATGTGCCGCAAGCAGCCAGGGTTAGCAATCGGTTGCCTATGCGAGAGAGATGATGGCAAGTGTGTAATTTGTGACTCTTACGTACGTCCGTGCACTCTGGTACGCATCTGTGATGAGTGTAATTACGGTTCATGCCAAGGTCAGTGCGTTATTTGCGGTGGCCCAGGAATCTCGGACGCTTCTTACTGTCGGGAATGTACGCAGCTGGAAAAAGATCGTGATGGTTGCCCCAAGATTGTCAACCTCGGAAGCTCCAAGATGGATCTTTTTTACGAACGCAAGAAGTATGGATTTAAGAAACGCTAATGTGCAGCTTCCTCATATAGGGCTGGCTCTGGATGTAGGAAAAGCAGCGAGAGAGAAATAGCAAGAGATACCAGGAAAAATAATCTTGACTCTACTAATTAGGACGTAAAGCTCCTTGTTACGTGTGCTTTCTGTTTTTAGGTCACCATCACGCTGTATCATAAGCGAGTATCTAGACAGCTCCACCTAGGATATTAACAATCAAGCCCGTCATGAAATTCCGCTGGGCTGGATGTCGTATAATTTCCTGCTTGCCCAATTGTTGGCCTTCTTCCATGATCAAAACCACACTCACCGAAGACTGCGCATACTACTACGTGGAGTTTTTTCGTTGTCTCTGAGGAAGCTTTGGCAAGCTCTTCTTTCTCCAGAATTCATTAGTTGACGAGCGAATTGGTGAGTGCTAGTGACATCTTGCTGCTTGTCGAAGCTGCTGTGACGTAAAGGTGACCAGACATGGCTTTATGAGATGCAGCCAAGAGAATGTTGTTAACCTTGCAAAGCCCTCACCAAGAGGCTGACAAATTCGACGTGTGTCGTTAGCAGTTCGTCGCCTGTAGGCAATTGAGAAGCATAGCTTTTTGCGTTAGAGTAGCAAAACTACATGTAGCAAGTATTGTACCAAGAACTACTAAAAGATGGACTAGTGAGCGCAATATACGCTACTAGAACTTGCATATGCTCTCTGCGGACAGTTGCTACAACCTCAACACCCTTCGCTTCGCTTGAAAAACGATTCAAGACATTGTTTTTATAGAAAAAGCCCTCGAATGTTTTCTTGACGCGATTTGTTTGTCTGACAATGAATGTCTAGTAGGAAAGAAACGATGGCTTGTCCGTCATCAAGTCTTAACAATGAACAAAGTATGTAGCAATCATCTATAAGAGTAACCTTGATTACCACGCATGAATCGTCACTACATGCAAGTGGCTTTTACAGCAAGTGCTTCTAATCGCCATTATCGGACTATATACAGACGCTTTTCAGACACGGCTCGTCTTGTGGCCACGTAGGATTGTCCGCAGATGCCTGTGCTAATGTTGAAAAGACTCTGGAGCAGCGTCTACCACGATCTGCCAAGTAAATTATCAGATGATATCAGTCCTGAAACCCAAGACTCACCGAAACGGAGTCAGCACACGAACTCCCAAACAACTTGTTTATTTTTAGGTAAACGTAGGACTAACTGCAACATGCCTGTACTGCACTAATGCCTTTCCCGACAATCGCTCCAAACACTCACTCCTAAGAAGCGGTGTATTGGAAACCGCACAGTGGACTTCAACTTACTTCTTCTGTGCAGTTTCCAATACACCGCTTCTCTAACATCTTTGAATCCCGGTGAAGAGCTTGCTGTCTCTGGTGCCGCAACTGCTTCAATTATGCCTCTTTCGGCGTATACTTTCGTAAGCACGCAAGATCTCGACTATCTTTTCCCTCACACGCTCACTGCGGGTCTTCAAGCCTACCGATCATGCGTCATATCAGCTTTTCTCCAGGTCTTCAACAGCGCATTTTGAAACGGCCCATAAATTTCAACGTCGACCTTGTCTTTCACGGCATTCGTTAAGATGTCAGCTAGCATCTGATCGACTTCGTCCTCTCCATCACGATGATGGAGCTTCTTCAGTACCTCGATCACCAGTTCGTACGGGTTTTCGCCTCGATTACGATACTTAACGAAAGTCTCCCACCCTCTACGTAATATAGGTTTGAAAAAGTCGCCGTTTCCACTACCTTTGAGCCACATAAAAACATTTTTCGGATCCTTACCGGTTGTCGCCCACATATGCACCTGTGCGTCGCTTAATGAACGTGCGACTTCATCGTGCTCATTCATAGCTTGCTTGACTTTCAGTGCATCATACAGAGTCTGCTCTCCATACGCAGTCGTCAAGACTTCGACAATGCTGAATCTAGCCAGATCCTTTTCGTCTTTGCAGATGTCGACCACCGCGCTTTCCCACTTACTATACTTCACACTGCCGATATAATCCACTAGGTCCTGCTCACCCGGCTTATAGACCATGAAGAGATGGCGTGTGGCCTGCTTTGATATCTGCACGATAAACGCATTCAATAAGGGGCTGTTAGACATGTTTTTAGAATGTTATAACCTCAATTTAAATCGCAAAACGACCTCGGAGATGCTAACTTGACCTTGCATCCTCATAAGATTCGCTGCAGCAATAATATCTGCAGCAATACTATTTGCAGCATTAAGATTAAAAGCGACTCCTTGATGACTTGCGCTCGCTCCGAGTGATGCCAGCCTCATCTTTAATTCCTCAAGGTCCAAAACCAAGGAGGCAAGATCAGGGGCTCTGGCTTCAGCACTGTTTTCTTGCGTTAGCAACGAGTCATTTGGCATGGAATATGTCTGGGGCTTTGCTGGTATGATAACTAACATTTACAAGCGGCTCAGAGTTGGCGATGCTTTCAGCCGAGCTGTAAAACGCTAGACAAAGCAACACAATGACCCTAGTCATTGTTGAACTTCTGCGCTCAATGAAGTAAATTGTCAAATGACCGGTTTTGGTATACCTCACACGTTTTTATGAGCTATATATCCGCGTCTGTTTCTGCTTGAGCTCATCTCGTCCGAGCGGGAAACTCAACATCATAGAAGTGACACTAGTCGTCAATTGGCACACGGACACACCAAAGTTCTGAGACCCAAAATTCAGCGACAATGAGTGTTAGCTTGCATTTTTCAATCTTTGAAGCAGTGTGAAGGCAACAAAGACGATCACGGACGAGAATGAAATGGTGCCTCTCGGATGCAGCAGACTGTAAGGTGGCTGGCCAAAACTGTCTGCCGTGTTGAACCAGTTGCAACTGGTCACACCGATTAGAATTCGATGCAGAATAAAACGAACAGCAACTGTAACTTCTCTACTTCGAATTTATTGTGGAGTCATGGAATCTTGAATATTTCTGCTGTAAAGCAAATGTACCACGCTCCTTAGAATTCCGTAACAAAGTTGAGAATAACTGAGTTGACTGCTTTGTATTTTCCAACAGGGCTGTTTCTATCTGCGCCACCAGAACTTCCTTACTGTTGGTTCTTAGTAGTGCCTGACAAAGCCATTTACGCTACTATTACCAACACGTCAGTACAAAATAAGTTCATATTCTGAATCACATGTTTCCTAGGAGCCAGCTCACTCCAATCTGCGCTGAAAAGAACTCACGTTCGCGGGCGGTGTAAACCAGACAGTCAGCCACGATTCAACAACAGTCCGTTGTCTCAAAGCTGAGACCGACGAGGAGACGTCAAGAGCTGCGTGTCGCCACCGAGAGTACCGGCTTTTGGTGATGAGTCTATCAATGACCCGCTGCAGCGGTGCGGCGAGACGGTCCTATTTTTATTCTAGCATTTAGTGCACGTTTTATATATTGATTCAGTTTTAAACCTTTCGGAGATAAAATGAAATGAACTGAAAAACCATGTAAAACACGTTTTAGTTATAGATTAAGTAAGATTTTGTTAACTTGTACTAATTCTTCCTTTCAAACTAAGTTTTCCTTTAATTCTAATAATCGCATTGCTACATTCTTATACGATGAATGCTATATGTATTTTTTAGATTCAAAACATTTAACGCGTTAAGCACTCCGTTTAAAAAGTCTCATCGCACGATTGAAATTTAAAGAGATTGACGAAAGTCTGGTAGAGCATGTGGTTGAATTCGATACGAAATTGTCACGCTAGTAAATTTGTTTCAATATCTTTAAAATACCACTCTTATTGAGAAAAATAACTAATATTGATTAAATAAACAGTGTCTGGCTAATAGGTTAAGTGGGGATGGCAAGTGAGTAATTTGTGACTCTTACGTACGTCCGTGCACTCTGGTACGCATCTGTGATGAGTGTAAATTACGGTTCATACCAAGGTCAGTGCGTTATTTGCGGTGGCCCAGGAATCTCGGACGCTTCTTACTGTCGGGAATGTACGCAGCTGGAAAAAGATCGTGATGGTTGCCCCAAGATTGTCAACCTCGGAAGCTCCAAGATGGATCTTTTTTACGAACGCAAGAAGTATGGATTTAAGAAACGCTGATGTGCAGCTTCCTCATATAGGGCTGGCTCTGGATGTAGGAAAAGCAGCGAGAGAGAAATAGCAAGAGATACCAGGAAAAATAATCTTGACTCTACTAATTAGGACGTAAAGCTCCTTGTTACGTGTGCTTTCTGTTTTTAGGTCACCATCACGCTGTATCATAAGCGAGTATCTAGACAGCTCCACCTAGGATATCAACAATCAAGCCCGTCATGAAATTGCGCTGGGCTGGATGTCGTATAATTTCCTGCTTGCCCAATTGTTGGCCTTCTTCCATGATCAAAACCACACTCACCGAAGACTGCGCATACTTCTACGTGGAGTTTTTTCGTTGTCTCTGAGGAAGCTTTGGCAAGCTCTTCTTTCTCCAAAATTCATTAGTTGACGAGCGAATTGGTGAGTGCTAGTGACATCTTGCTGCTTGTCGAAGCTGCTGTGACGTAAAGGTGACCAGACATGGCTTTATGAGATGCAGCCAAGAGAATGTTGTTAACTTTGCAAAGTCCTCACCTAGAGCGGCCAAGAGGCTGACGGATCTAACGTGTGTCGCTAACACTCTGTCTGTTTCTCTTACATCGTCTTGGATAGCCAAAAATCATGAAGGCGACAAACACGTGTTAAGATCTGCGCGGTGGATGTTTTTGAGGAACTCTAAAAAAACGCTCGGGTATGTTGAGGCCAATTTTAAGCCTAAATTGCATCAATTTGATCATCCCATTGACGAGTTGCGCAACTTGGAAAGCCTTGTGGTCCAGAGAGAAGGGTAAATATACGCTTGAGCTACTTGCGGAGAAAGTGACGAGTGCAAGGCGTATATGCTGCGTCCTGCAAGAGTCGCAGCTTTAAGCAAACCTTGGAGTACACAACTATCACGATTTTCTCGGGAAGAATCACGAGAAGCTATTAGTTGAACAGCGCAAGAGGGTCGATAGTATTGCGTTGAGAGCTTCAGGAGAAGCAAACCAGTTTGAGAGCAGTCTTGTCACATGAATAAAGTTGTTGGTCAATACTTTCGAGGCAAAACACGGCTGTCAAGCATGTAGCCAACGAGAGGCTAACGTTTTGTGCTATGAAGAGCACGTAAAGCAATCGAGATCACAACCAAAACGTTTGAATCTTATTGAAGAACAGTGACAAAAGTTAGCATGAATTGCAGCTCGAGCAGCAGCTGCTGGACTCTGTGGCACACTCCCGTTTAGTGAGCACTTTGTGCCACGCTTCACGATAATTTGACACCCGGTAAGCGCATTTTCTTCAGTTTTTAAGACACCGTCGAACCCTGTTTCTTGGTATTTGTACATTGTCAAGCGTGGACTACATCCTGATGGAGAAGCTACACCAAATGAACGCACATCCATCCGTCAGCTTGATAAGATCAGAACAGTACATTACGCTACTGACTAGAATAATTTTTCGATCATAATTGATTCAAGCACATGGTTCCATACTGCTGCGGTTTTTGGGTCAAAGTAGTAGCTAGTACTCCGTTATCGTTGGTGATGGAATAGGCTTATGCCTGGGGGTACTTTTGAGCGAGTGGTTGTCCTCAACTATTGCTATGCTGTAGCATTTGGTCGCTGCCATACAGCTTCATAATTCATCATGATTCTGATGCTGTAATCAGCGAAGATGCACAAAATACTGTTGACAAACATCGAGTCATGAGTTACAAGAAGGCGCTTGCCTACCCATCGGCTTCCGCTATGATCGCCATAATGGCTGGGTTTTCTGTGGCAGTGAAGGTTAATAAAATGGAGAAGTACAGATCGAAGGTCCGTGGCTGGGACCGTTTTGGTGGCGCTGTCCCACAACATTCTACTCAAGACCAAATTTTCTGCAATGCCACTGCCGACTGGGAACGGAGACGCGTTGGTCGCGTTCCCGGTCTAATACCCCGTTTGAACTTCCAGCATTTGAACAGTTGTACGCTGCAGACCAAATGGCTAAACGTTTAAACGGTAAGCCTATCCGGGTAATGTAAGCCTCGTGAAGGTCCTCCTATTGGGCTTAATGCCAGGCCTGACGGGTGAGCGAGACCATTGTACTCGCCGTCGCAGCTAATGAATGTATCGTGCCCTCCGTTGCTTGTGCCGGCCGGCGAACGTTGTTAATGTGGTTAGCTTCCACCGTAGATTGTGCACAAACAGTAATAGACAATCTGTTTCCTCTCTTTCTCCTAGGAAACAGCAGCTGAACCATATATCTAATCACGTAGGAATCCCTAGATGAGGCTCTACTAAAAGCCAGCTTTCGCTATTGCGTCTTCAGCAGAAGTTGGAAAGGCATGCGAATCACAATACATTTAGTGCCTCATAGTTGTTGCTCAAACAGTAACAAATGCGAATGCCTGGTCCTAGCAATACGGCCCTTTACTGAAGCCATCACATGGTTACAGGTCGGCGGTGCGCCTCTTGCAGCCGACTTCGGTCACCCTCAGTGTTCAATGGCATAGACAGGATAACTTGGGTACTCGAAGGTCCAACGCTTTTGGTCCGGACGGGCACACTAAAAATCACTCAGCTCACAGAGCATACTCTTATTTGCAATGAAATCGTCTTTCTTTCACCCTCCAACTCCACCGGTTCCATAGGCTGCTATACCTACTGTTCCCATCACCGCATCCTTCCGGTTTCTCAGAAAAGAAGCTTACGCATCACCCTAGG